GCCCAGGGGCGGTGAGAGGCTTCACCAGAGACAGAGTGGGGAGCAGAACAGGCAGATCGACAAAGGGGAGCAGCGGGCAGGTCAGGAGAGGTCTGACACACCATGTGGTCACAGGAAGGGGGGGCACTAGGGATCGAATTGGGGGGGCGCTAGGGATCGAATTCAGGGTGAGGGGGCGCTAGGGATCGAACTCCTGCCACCGAAGAGGCTGCCTCTGGCTTGGTGTGCTTCGTCCTAACTCCTTGCCCACCGGGGAGGGCCATCTCCTCCTTTCTTACCTGGAGGGTGCCAACAGGCAACTTAGGCTCTGCCAGTGGGTCATCAAAAGTAATTCCACTGCTCTGGGACAGGTGATCCTAGAGACCGCATGGTTCTTTGTGAAAGAACTTTGTGAAAGGTCTCTCAGCTTTGCTAAGGAACAACAAGTTAAAAGGGCTCTAACCTGCTTGAAGAACTAAAGAACATATCCTAGCACGAGAAGCTAGAGCTCCCAATAAAGAACTTCAGGCGGAATACTGAGTTCTGAACAAATTCCAACTTGCGATGTTGGGGAGAGGGGACAGTTCTCACACTACCAAGCAATTCTCAGACACCAGCAGGGTGTCCTAAGATGCAGCTCAATTCCATCACTATCTACCTAGATCAGATCCCACAGGTTAAGGACTAGGTCCCACAAGACTGTTTCACACATACAAACACCATTTGTCACAACACAGTCCAAGTTAATTACCTGTGCTTCTGGACAGCCAGCTGTTGATTAAAAATCCAAAACAACATCCTCGCCTTTGACTCCATTAATTTGCTACACAGGCTCACAGGACTCAGAAAAACATTTTACTTACTAGATGACCGGCTTACTATAAAAGAAAACAAGTCAGGCACAGTCAGTCAGATGGGAGATACCTAGGGCAAGTTGTGTGAAAGACTGGAGTTAGACCTCATCAGTTAGGGCTTTTATAGTGATTTCCCTGCAAGGGCATGATTGATGAATGCATTGGCCACTAGCAACTGTCACCAGGTCCAGGCCCCTCCCCCCAGAAGCTGGAGTGGGACTCAAAGGTCCAACCCTCCAATTAAAGATTTGTTCCCCTGAAATGCACGGGACTATGGTGGTGGCACATGGGTGATTTGGTGATGGGAAACCCGCGGGGATTACAATCGAGATGGGAAAAAATAATGTGCAAAATGATGTAAAAATAAACTTTTGTAATAATTAAAAAAAAAAAAAGATTTGTTCCCCTGACAACCTTCCCCATCCTCAAGTCACCTAAGGGATTTCCAGAACCCTTAGGTCATTTCATTAATAGAGCAAGTAATACCTTCATTGCTCTTACCACAAGCAATTAGGAGTTCTCTGCCAGGAACGGGGTCAAAGACCAAATATATATCATTTATTATAAATCACAATATCACATATCCCTTTCTAAGTGGAATGTTTTCCCATTAACTCTGCTATGCTAAAACCCTGGGGATTTGCTTATGTATTTTCCATGTTGAGTGCAGCCCAGTCCCCAAAAGTGAGAGTTCATTTGCCTGTGGTTACACCCTTTCCCCCTCTGGTGAGGGTTTGTTTTTCAGCAGCTGGTAGCAGAGATAAGGTGTGCCTTGATGAGCTTGGCACCAGTGAAAGGGATCCATCCTGACTCACTCAGTAAAGAAAAAGTTCATACTACTTTGTTTGCTTTCATATACAGGTCAAAAAAAAAAAAAAAAAGGAGGCTTTTAAAAATGTTTTCCTCTATAAAACCTGACAATAACATTTTTACTTATAGTGAAAGCTTTTTGTGAGTTATCAAGTGTAAAAAATAATCTAGCTTTTATTATTGACGTTAAGTGACAAAAGTGATATTTGATGCACAAGAGGAAAACAAAGATCTCTCAGCCAAATCTAACTCCTTGCCTTTTCCAAAGTTCACAGTAGGGACTTTGCACCTATGCTCATGACATCCTCTCTGACTTGAATCAAATTTCTGTTAAACCTCTAAGTGCTACTTCAGTCAAGTGATACCAGCAGTCCTGCTTAGATATGCAAGAAATCAGGAGAGGGCAACAAAGAGCAGATTTCTGGCTGAAGGTCATGGCAGGTAGAAGGAAGCTGCAGGATCTCTGATAAAAATACAAATATAAAAATAAATAAGAAAATTTAAAATTACCTACAAACTTACCATCAAGTAAACATATTTCTTTATAGGTAGGCAGGTAGATAGATAGATAGATAGATAGATAGATAGATAGATAGATAGATAGATAGATATTGATAATAGACCTTCTCATTCATTGTCTATTAATTTCTCCATTTGTTTGTCTTTGCTACATTTGCAACAATTTCTTCAGATTCATCTTCCAATATGCTACTTCTCTTTTTAGCTACATCTTCTGTTGAATTAAGTGTTGCACCTTAAATTTTAATGACTACATATATTTTTAAAATTTATTGTGTTCTATTTTTTTCTAAACTAATCTGGGTATATTTTAAATATTTATTTGTTCCTTTCTTATCTTTTATCCCTTATTTCTTTATCCCTTATCCTTTTGTCCCTTATTCCTTTAAACATATATATATGTATATATATATGTATATATATGTATATATTTAAAGAGTCATTTCAATGCTATGGTTTCTTTATTTCTTTTTTTTTTTTTTTTTAAGATTTATTTATTTATTCATACAGAACTGGGGTACAGGCCAGAGGCTCAGGGGTGGTGAGAGGCTTCACCAGAGACAGAGTGGGGAGCAGAACAGGCAGATGGACGAAGTACACTGCTGAGGGAAGCAGCGGGCGGGTCAGGAGAGGTCTGGCTCGCCATGTGGTCTCCCCCGGGGCAGGCGGGAATTGAACTCATGCGGAAGTGGCTTCAGATTCTCAGTGCTGTGCTTTAACCCGCTGCGCCACCAGGGAGGGCCTCTTTATTTCTTTTTTAATGTAAAAATAAAATTATTTATGGGCCCTTCCTGGTGGTGCAACATGTTAGGAGGCAGCACTGCAAGCTAGCTGTAGCCAAGTACTACAGTGGGAGTTCGATCCTCAGCCCAGAGGTGATCCGCATGGTGCGGAAAGACCTCTCCTGACCTGCCCGCTGCTCCCCTCAGCAGTGTACTTTGCAATATGCCTGTTCTGCTCCCCACTCTGTCTCTGGTGAATCCTCTCACCACCCCTGCACCTCTGGCCTGTACCCCAGTTCTGTATGCATACAGAGGATTCAGCAGAGGCAGAGCAGGGAGCAAAACAGGCAGATGGAATGAAGTACACAGCTGAGGGGAGCAGCAGGGTGGGTCAGGAGCTGTCTGCCAGGCCATGTGGGTCACCTCCAGGGCCGGGATCAAACTTGCACTGAAACAGCTGCAGCTAGCTTGTAGTGCTGCGTCCTAACCTGTTAAGCCACCATGGAGGACCTAAACTTTTTTTAAAAAAGATTTATTTATTAATGCATATAAGAACTAGGGTGTAAGCCAGAGATGCGGGGGTTGAGAGGAGTCACCAGAAACAGAGTGGGGAGCAGAACAGGTGGATTGACTGAAGTGCATTGCTGAGGGGAGCAATGGACAAGACAGGAGAAATCTGCTGTGCCATGTGGATTAATTAGCTCCCTGGCAAAGGGTGGGGAATGGAACTTGTGCTGCAGTGGAGATAGATTGACAGTTCTGTGTCTTTAACCTCTGCACCACCAGGGAGGCCCTATTCTTTAAAGTTTCACAACAGCTTCTTGAGAGTCTTCATCTGATTACTGTATTTCACTCCTAAGTCCTTAAAGATCTAAACCTGTTCATCTAAAAATCTAAACCTGACTCTTCCTTCTAATTCTTTGAATCCTCTAAAAAATAGCTCCAAAATAGCATGGACTGAGTTCATCAGAATGCATAATGGATTTTGGAGTTCCTAGACGTTTTAATAACCAGTTAACTACTGGACAATTTTGGTTCCATCAGCAGAGTCTGGTGAGCATAATCCAGTGAGCACCCTCTAGTAAGAACTGAAGGATTGAGTACCTGGGGCTGTCCATATATAGTTCCCACAACCTCCAAGCACAGTCAGGTCTTGAGCAGATAAACTCTGAACACCTATTGTCCACCCTAAATCTTTACAGCTCTTCAAATGCCTGAGTCTTAAAGTCTGTTGTCCAGAGTTAAGCTTGTCAGGAGGATGAATTAACTAGGGAATTTGCATGAAGGATTTGGCATGGTGGGAAAGGGACACGGAGACTCCAAAGGCGTTTCCACTGCAGTGGACATCTGTGGCCACTGTCAATGCCAGCAACACTCTGGCTGGGCCGTTTCCCCTAGCCTAACCTCAGTGATCTGGAAGCAGGTCAACTTGGCCTTGCTGGCACACAGGTTACCATCACCAGGAGCTGCTTTAGCAAAATCTTCTCAGGGGCTGGGCAGGTGTGCAGGCATGGACCTTTCACGACACTGATGGACACTCCAGACCTTCCTCAGCCACCAGCCAAGTGGTAAAATAGAACAAGTTGTAAAAATAGGACAACTTGATGGTTTACAGTGAGACTCTGACGTCAGCTCCAGTATAGCTTGGACAAGGTACTTAAACTATCAGTGCCTCGAATTTTCTCATCCAGACAGAATAAAAGCAGTACCTCAGGCCAATAAATGGAACTGGCACAAGATGAGCTTTATAGAAATGTTGTTTACCTTAGGCAGAGTCTCAGGACCATAAATCCTCCTCAGCACCACGCCCTTCACCCCCTCCCAGGCCAAAGTTGAGCTGGGAGGCCAAGGGAAGAAGGGAGCGAGTTGACTGGCTACCTGGAATCCGGTGGAGACTCCATCCGTGCCACCCTAAATGCCCAGTTACACAGAACCTGGCCGTGGCAAGCAGCATGTACTGGGGGAAATACTAGTTAGAAAAGTACTTGCTTCCGTTTTGCACACCCCCCTAACCTCCGCCCCCCCTGGGGCGTGACAGTGGAGGCGCCAGAAAGAGAAGGAAGTTGTTCGTTCATTGGGGTAGAGAGTTAAGCGGACCGGAACTGCCCCTAGACCCCTCTCTGCTCCAAACCCAGCCCCCAGAAGTCATTCCACGCTTGAGGACGTGAAGCTTCCGAAGTCCCAACCGGATGTCTGTGGAGAAGTTATGGTGAGTGGAGAGTGGCTATATAGATCCGCAGCCTGCCTCCCACACACGGCGTCCCCATAACGGGGTGCCCGTGGCAAAGCTGGCTTGGATGCGGGACCGGGGAGAGGGGGCTGTACTAACACAGCCGAGTCGTGGGGTCACTGGGGGGAGGGGAGCAGGCAGCGAGGGCGCTCACGGGAAGAAGCCCGGACTTGGCGCCTTTGCCAGCTAGCTGGTGACAGAGGCCCCCTCTCTCAGGTCCAGCGGGGCCCCAGCCTCCTTGGTGCCCGTAGAGGAACTGAAGAACCCACAGTTCATTGGCAAAGGTGGATTCGGTGCAGTATTCCGGGCCCAGCACAGGTCTTGGGGTCACGATGTGGCTGTCAAGATCGTGAACTCGTAAGTGACCCAAGCTTCCGACTGGCGACTGGCGGGTTTCTGGCCTAGGGGCGGGGCGAGCAACCTGAATGGGCAGCAGAGGGATCTTTCTTGGAACGCAGCGCAACCCTCTCTCTCCTGGAGTGCAGGGAGAAGATCTCTAGGGAGGTGAAGGCCATGGTAAATCTGCGCAGCGAGTTTGTGCTGCTTCTGCTGGGGGTCACAGAGAAGCTGCAGTGGGAATACCTGTCAGGGCCGGCTCTGGTGACTCAGTTCATGGAAAACGGTTCCCTGGCAGGGCTCTTGGATCCCCTCTGCCCTCGGCCCTGGCCCCTCCTTTGTCGACTGCTTAGGGAACTGGTTCTAGGAATGTGTTACCTGCACAGCCAGAACCCGGTGCTTCTACACAAGGACCTCAAACCCTCCAACGTCCTGATGGACTCAGAGCTGCATGCCAAGGTTAGCCTTCCACACCGGGCCCAGGCTCTGGTCAAGGTCCTTCCCCAGAATTGCTTCAGCTTCATCCACTGGACAAGGGGCCTGCTGCAGTTTTATCTACTGAATACCCTCAGCATGTCCCTGTGGACGCTGGGCCACCAAGTGGGAAGGTCCAGCCAGGAGCTTTAGCCCCTAACCGTCAAAGTCAGTTTCAAAGGCCCATTTCACCAGGCCTTCCGGAGACCCATGGCTGGACTAGCCAAGGAGACTCAGACCTGGACCCAGCCTCTGGGTCCCCCCCACTCCAGGACCCTCCAAGCCAGGAGTCCCACTAATCTTATCCTTCCCTGAACTCTCTCCTTTACAAGATTGGGCTGTCCCTCCTGGGGGCGGGGGGAGGGGATTCTGGAGTTCTGGAGGCTGCCTGGCCCTATCTCCTCCTCCTTACCTACCTGTGCAGGTGGCAGATTTTGGCCTCTCCACATTTATGGGAGGCTCGCAGTCTGAGGCAGGATCAGGAGAGGCGGGGGGCACACCAGCCTACTTGGCCCCAGAGCTTTTGGCTGACATAAACCAGCGGGCCACCCAGGCCAGTGATGTCTACAGGTAAGGTACCCACTGCAAACACACATCCCCAACCTTTGCACCTCTCTGGGTCCTTCTAAGGGACTGTGTAAGAGAGGAGTCCTGCCAGAGGTTGAGCTAAGGCTTAGTTTTGTGTCTTCTGCAGCTTTGGGATCCTAATGTGGGCAGTGCTGGCCGGAAGAGAAGCTGACAGTAAGACTCTAGCAGACTCTGGTTCTCTCTTAAACCTAGGTTCTCTCTTCCCACAAGCCCCCAAGTCCTCTTCACCAGTTCTTCCCTTTCCTCTTTCGATGGTGGAATACACCCTACATGCACTCTCTTCCCCTCCCCCACGGCCACCCCAGTAGTGTCCCAAACATCAGCGGTGCGGGAATCCGTGTGTAAGAGGCAGATGACCCCCCCCTTGACTGAGCTGCCACGGCCCAGCCCTGAGCGGCCTGGCTTGGAAGGACTGACAGAGTTAATGCAGCGCTGCTGGAAACATGAGCCCAGAGACCGGCCCACCTTCCAAGGTAAGTGGCCATTCCGCTGGCAGGCCTGCCTGCTAGCCAGGGGCTTTTCCCAGAGGAAGAAGTTTTTTCATCTGCCACTCACTGTGTCTTCCCTCTAGATTGTCGACCAGAAACCAAAAAAGCCCTCAGTCTAGTAGGAGAGGCACAAGTCGATGCCGCAGTCTCCACAGTGAGTGAGAAAACCACCACTGACCACTTTTCATTATACCTCCCCCCTCATCCTCTCTACCCCTCATTCTCTCTCCCCCTGACCCTTGTGTTCTCAGACAACAGGAAGCCAGCCCAGGACACTCTCCCCCCTGGGTTTATCCTAGCTCTCCCATCTTTATGCCCAGCCCACTTCCTTGTCCTTGCAGGTGAAAAAGTATCTGTCTGAGCACAGGGGCAGCAACATGAGTTTGTTTGTCCCCATGCCTGACACAGAAAGGCCAGCCATGGGTGACTCTAGGGGAGCCACAGACAGCAATAACGCCATGATCACTGAGAGGCTGAGCAACCTGACTCTGAAGGAGGCCGCGAACTCTGACCCTGACGGATGTACAGGCTTGCCTGAGCAGATGAGGGCACAGGAAGAGATGAGCCAGTATGTCCAGATGGCAGGGGTACATTCTCCTTCAACAGCCTACCCTCCCCCAAGTCCAGAGACCCCTCCTGTCAGAAACTGGATGCCCGGCTTCACCTCATCTTGGTGCCAAGAAGCTGGACCTACAGGGAATCAGGTGAGACAGTGACTGACTAAGGGATGCCCTAGAACTCTTGTGAGTCCTGCCCCCCAAGGAAAACTTGGGCTGAGGGGTATGCAGTGGGGGACAGTGAGTATGAGAGCCCTGTGTTGTTCGCAGAGAGATGGAAGACAAGGCACCAACTGGCCTCCCAGGGCCCCGAGACCAAATCCAGAACCAGGTATCTACTCTCTACTTTCCCCTCCTCAAAAAATCATCCACCAGCTGATAGGTAGACTCTTCCACCAAGGCCATAGGTAGACCCAGACTATGTTGGAGAGAGGGGAGAGGAAGGATTTCAGGTTATCTACTCCATTCCTTCTATTTCATCAGTGAAGAACTTTAGGATCAAATTCTGCTGAGTTCACAGCAAAGCCTGGATTTGCTTCCTGGACCTTCTGACTCTTCCCAGCACCAGCTCTGTGAACCCTTAAATTTCCTCTTTATGAGTCTAGACAGTAGAGGGCCTTCCAGTGGGAAAAGATCCAAATATCAAGTTCTCATACCACAGCTGGCACTCTTGAGTTTGTGCAAATTCTGTTCGGAAGGAGCAGCCTGAAGGGGAAGGCCACAGGCACACCTGGACACTGCCAGGCCCCATACTTGTATTTTCCCAGGGTGAACACAAGGTGCCGCTGCTCAGCTGCTCCTCCTGAGTTTCTGACCACGTAACCCACCACTCCTATTTCTTTTAAAGGGACACAATCTGTTTTCACACTGAACTGCCAGGGGGTGCAGTTTGGAAACAACAACTACTTGGTTATTCAACAAGGAACTGCCCCGTTGCATGGCCCGACGCCTTGGGTACCTAGGCACGGGCAGGGTGCCCCTCACCATTAGGTTCAAAGAAGGCCTGCAAGAGCCTGCAGTCTGGAGTGACCAGCAGTGCCCATACAAGAACAGGAGAAATGGAGGCCGCTAACCAAGACTTTGAGAGCCCAGAAATGATTTTGTACCTCCAAGAGTCAATAAACAAGATGTACTTTATTTATTTACTTTTTTAGATTTATTTATTTTATACCTACAAGAACTGAGGTACAGGCCAAAGGTGCAGGGGTGAAAGGATTCACCCGAAACAGAGTGGGGACCAGAAAGGGCAGATGGACTGAAATACACTGCTGAGGGAAGCAGCAGGCAGGACAGGAGAGGTCTGCTCTGCCATGTGGGCCACCTCCCTGGCCGGGGATCGAACTCTTGCTGCAGTGGCTACAGACAGCTTCATAGTGCTGCGCTTTAACTTCTTGTGCCAGCAGGGAGGGCCCAAGATGCACTTTAACCAAAGTGTCCTGCAGGAGTTGAAGAGACAGAGCCAGGAGGCTGGGGAGGTGACATGGAGGGAGGAGGAAGCATTGCAGTCTCACTGAGGCCAGCCGGAAGCTGGATGCTGAGGACTGGGGTGGGGATGTGAGGGCAGAAAAGTCCTGGCACACAAGGTCAGGGCCCAGCTGGTGGCAGGAAGGAATCCTGGAGGTCTGGCTCCTGGGGCGGGTCTATCCCTGGAAGAAGCACTTCCTCTAAAGTGGGGGAGACCCCACCCTAAACCTAAACCCTGAGGGTAGAGGCTGCTTTCCCACTGTCCTGTCTTTTCTTCAGAGATTTAGCAATGGGGTCCTGAGGAGGGAGTTCCCAGGCCCTGCGGTCCCCAGGGATGTCCCCAGGTTCTCGCACCCACACAGGCACTCACCAGCACAGTTCTTCTGGGGAGTAGAACCCTTTGATCCCCAGCTGGTGTCTGGGAGTAGGCAGCTGTGACTCCACAAAGCTACACACAGATGTGCCCCCATGCTGGAGACAGCCGGAAGCCCACGCAGCCTCCACCAGGAGGGAGGGAGGGAGGAAATAAGCGCTCCCCTCAGTCCTGACCTAAATCCTTGCCCCCATCTGGCACCACATTCTTCCCTACATTCAAACCAGGTTCCAAGCCAGCCCTCATGCCACATCCAACCCCGGCTCACCCCAACTTATTCATCTCTCCCATGGTCTGCATGCTTCTTTGAGGGTGCCCAAGGAGAAAAGTGGTGGTGTCACAGGAGACAATCAGTGTGGGGGAGGAGACCTGGGAGTCCGGCGCCGGCACGGGAAGGGGCTGGGCTGTCCCATCAGGGAAGTGGGAGGGGGCCAGGGTGCCTGGAGTAAAGCGCCTGTCGCCTGGAGCTCAGAGCCACAGCTCAGCAGCCAGCGGGAGTCCGCTCCTGCCTGGGGCCTAAGCCACTCTACGGCGGCGGGCGGACGGAGGCGGCAGCAGGCAGTGAGTTGGGGGACCGGAGATGGGCACCGGGTGGGGATAGAACCCAGGCTGCTAAGCTTCAACCCCAAAATGATCCTTGGCAGCCGGCCGAGGCTTGTACTAGCCTGGGTTTAAGGGGAAATGGAGGATTGAATAGTACCCTTGCCCAACTGGAAATGGGATGGGAGTCTCGGGGAGTGACCGAGGAAATGGGATGGGCGCTAGGTGGGGACCAGGGGGAGAAGTTGTTTAGATCAGGTGAGGGGGTGAAGTTGGGGCTGGCCAGGGCCTCAGGACATAACCTACCCCCATCCTCCCCAGCCCAGCCCTGGGGCCCCCCTTCTGGGGACAGCGCGGCAGGGGAGATCCAGGCGGGGTGGGGGCCACCATGGCCCGCCTCTTCAGCCCGCGGCCGCCCCCCAGCGAAGACCTCTTCTACGAGACCTACTACAGCCTGAGCCAGCAGTACCCGCTGCTGCTGCTGCTGCTGCTGATCGTGCTTGGGTCACTCCTGGCGCTGCTGGCTGTGGCCTGGGCCAGTGGCAGGGTGAGCAGGGAGTGCTGGGGGGTGGGGGGCAGGAGGGTCACTGCCTAGTGACATCTGGGGACTGAGGCTTGTAGGGATCTTCTTTACTTTGTGTTATCTTTTCTGAGAGCCGTGAAAGGAGAGCTGAGCCCTTCTAAGAATTGCAGTGACCTTGAGCGAGTCATTCCACCTCTCTGAGCCAGTTTCTGGGTCAACACAGGGAAATAGCTGAGCCACTGATTTCTCTGAGTCACCGACAGATCCTATGCCCTTCTGAGAGCTACTAGTTCTGGATGAAATCCAAAACCGGGTTTTCCCTTCTTCCAGGAGAGGGGGTGGTGGAAATTACACAGGGCCCCTGAGAATCGTTTTCTGAGTCTTTTTCTCTCTTAGGGGCTGTGGGACAGTATTACCCACAGACTCCGAGAAAGCACCCTCCATCCTGCTCTCATTTAGTTCCCAAATAAACCAATTTCCAGTTCTTCCGGGGTGGGGGGGTTCCAATTCCATTTGTGGAAATAAGCCTGCTCCAAGTGTTCTTTTCACTCTTCGGAGACAACGTGGGAAAATCACTGGACACGACCTTTCCTTGCTGGTCCACCTCGAAGTCCAGGAGGAGACGGGCATAAAGGGCGGAGTCAGGGGCTGACCTAGCCCGGAGTTGAGTGATGAGAGAGCTACCCGGGATGACAAGGCAGATCCAGGGCGCCCCCTGCTGCCCGAGCATGTTAGTGGGCACCTTAGAACTGCAAGCCTCCTTCGAGCCCTGGGGAAGGCCACAGCCGCAGCTGATTGGTCGCATTTGGATACACTTCTTCCTCAATGCTTTCTGTAAACTAGGATTTTTCACTTGTGCGGGACTCGGGATTGGTCTTCTGATACCTTTTGGGCAGATACAAGAATTGAGAAGGGTCCTAGATTCTCAAACAGCCACTGCTTGTCAGGGTGGATGGGACACCTCGGTGGGAGCCATGTGAGCTGGCTCTGTAGATGAAAAACAACTTATGGCTAATTTCTTATGGCTCAACCTAGTATTACTGTCAAGCAGAGGTGCCCTGCCTCCGTTGCATGCTTGGGTTTGAGGGTCTTTGAAACGGACCCAAGGGGCTACCCGCTCTCACCTTACTTAGGCAAGCTCTGCAAATTCCACAAGCCAATCGTGCTTTATTGCGCCCCCTCCCCACAGGAGCTGGCTTCAGACCCGAGCTTCCTGACCACCGTGCTATGCGCGCTGGGCGGCTTCTCGCTGCTGCTGGGCCTGGCTTCCCGCGAACAGCGACTGCAACGCTGGACCCGTCTCCTGTCTCTCCTAGTGTGGGCAGCGCTGCTTGCGCTAGGTTATGGCTTCCTGTTCACGGGGGGCGTTGTGAGCGCCTGGGACCAGGTGAGGAGGGAGGGCAGGTGGAGGTGGAAGACCTCCAGGCTTGGAACGTCAGCAGCGGCTGCAAAGCAGCCTAAACCTACTTCCGCCCCCCCATCACCCTCGCGGCAGGTGTCCTTTTTCCTCTTTGTCATCTTCACCGTGTATGCCATGTTGCCCTTGGGCATGAGGGACGCTGCAGCTGCGGGCCTCACCTCCTCACTCTCACACCTGCTGGTCCTTGGGCTGTATCTTGGGCCTCAGCCGCAATCCCGACCTGCGCTCCTGCCTCAGGTGAGCACTCTCATAGCACAGGCTGTGCCGGGGGCAGGCTCTCCTGCCTGGGATTCTGTTGTCTGGGCATTCATCAACGTTTACCGGGCTGTGACTGACCAGGCTCAACGTTGGGCATAGGGTCAAACACAGACAGAACCCGCCCCTCCCCCCCACCCCCACCAAGAACTGGCACACCAGTGCAGTTTGATGCCTACAGACACCAGGAGAGACTTCCGGGCCCACAGGAAAGGGCGTTCACCAGGGAACCAACGGGTGGGGACACTAGCAGATGATGGAACTTTCACAGAGACTGTGAAAACGGGTGGGGGTGTACGGGATGGAGTGGGGGGCTGGTATTCCAGGCAGAGGAGAGGTGTGTAAACGGTTTCTAGACCTAAGAGGCCCTGCTGGTGCAGCAGCGGCCAAGTCTGGAGCATGGGGGATGGGGAAGAGAAGCCCCCTGCTGTGGATCCCACATTGTGGCGCCAATTGCCTCAAAATACTTAGGTCTCTAACTGGAGAGTCCTCCCCAGTCCTCTTGGAGACCAAGTCCAGCTACACACATAGCCACGCCCACCCCACCCGGGTCCAGCGCCTGCTGAGGCCGATCCTCACCCACAGCTGGCTGCAAACGCGGTGCTGTTCCTGTGCGGGAACGTGGTTGGAGCGTACCACAAGGCGCTGATGGAGCGCGCGCTGCGCGCCACGTTCCGGGAGGCACTTAGCTCCCTGCACTCACGCCGGAGGCTGGACACTGAGAAGAAGCACCAGGTCAGCGGGGGGCCTGGGAGGCAGACCGGCAGGGAGCGGTGAGCCTCAGGACTAGGAACTCCCTGCTCAGGGTAGTGGTTTAGAGCACTCAACCAGGCTCTTTCGCAAGCCCTGTGGTATGGGGCAGATCATTTGCCCTTCTGTTTCCTCTTTTGCAAAATACCATAGGTACCCACCTTGGAAGGTTGTTGTGAGGCTTAAACAAAGTGAAGTTTGTGAAGGCCTTTTAGGACATTGTTATACTTAAACAAATGACTCCAGTCCCAGCGTTGGTGTTGGGAGTTCAGTTCCTAAAGGTTGATCAGTGTAAGAAGTAGACCTGGAGCCATGTGTGCATGGTGAGGAAGACCTGGGGAAGCACCTTGGGGGTGCCTAGTAGATCTGGGGAAGTGTGTGGTCTCCTAGCTGGTTTAGGGGTCTGGGACCCCAGTTCTTAGGTGCAGTTCTTAGGTTGGTACTCATTATGACCTTCCGCAGGAACATCTTCTCTTGTCCATCCTTCCTGCCTATTTGGCCCGAGAGATGAAGGCGGAGATCATGGCCCGCCTGCAGGCAGGACAGGGGTCACGTCCCGAGAGCACCAACAACTTCCACAGCCTCTATGTCAAGAGGCACCAAGGAGTCAGGTAGGAGGAAGGATGGATGGACTGGAGGGAGCAGTGGGGCTGAGAACTGGGCCCCATTGATGCAGTCTGCCCTGCCCAGTGTGCTGTATGCTGACATCGTGGGCTTCACGAGGCTGGCCAGTGAGTGCTCCCCTAAGGAATTGGTGCTTATGCTCAATGAGCTGTTTGGCAAGTTCGACCAGATCGCCAAGGTCAGAAGGGTACTCCCTTCCCATCCTCAAACCACCCCCCCACCCTGGAGACCCCCCTCCAAGGGAAATTCCAGCTTCATAAGAAGCTCATGTGGTCAGAGCTGAGGTGGACTCTCAGATATTTGGATGGGAATAGGACTCCCTCTCAGACATCCTCAGTGATGCTTACCTTATACCTCAAACCTGGAGAGACTTCTCAACATGGTCACCAATGCTCCAACCACAACACCCCAAATAGGATCAAAACCCCAACATAAGCGTCTCTAGACACTATATCCAAATCTAGAGAGCTTTTCGGCAACGCTAACCTTAGGAAGTCCTTCCAAGGGAAATTTCTGTTCTATGCAATTCAGCTGAGTTCCCTGCTCAAACTCCAGGAATACTCCAAGCAACCTAAGGAGACCTCCTCTTAAAAACAAACAAACAAACAAAGCCTCTAATCCTGAGGTTACTTTCATGTGCTTAAATCTAGAAATACCCTACATGTGCCAGAGTTTGGGAAAATCACATATCCCGAGCTTTGGCACACCCTCCTGAGAAAGACACCTGCCCTGGCACCTCAGCCAGTGCCATCTCGAGTTCAGGGAGTCCCTAGATCTGACTAGACACTCCTGACCTCAGAAGTTCTTCGGGATACCGCATTCCTCTCCATTTTCCCCAGCTCCTCCTGACACTCCTGGCCTCTAATCAGGGGCTTTCCCCACCCCGCACATACACTCATGCAGGAGCACGAATGCATGCGGATTAAGATCCTCGGAGACTGTTACTACTGCGTCTCTGGGCTGCCGCTCTCACTGCCAGACCACGCCATCAACTGTGTGCGCATGGGATTGGACATGTGCCGGGCCATCAGGTCAGCCAAGCGCCCTGCAGTGGGTGGGGGCAGAGGCAGGCAGGGTAGTGGAAGTCCTCTTGGAGGGAGGGAGGGTGTGGCATGGGTAGGGCTGAGGCAGCTCTCAGACTGTCCCCCCACTACACCCCACTCAGGAAACTACGGGCAGCCACTGGTGTGGACATCAACATGCGTGTGGGTGTGCACTCGGGCAGTGTGCTCTGTGGGGTCATCGGGCTGCAGAAGTGGCAGTATGATGTCTGGTCCCATGATGTCACATTGGCCAACCACATGGAAGCAGGAGGCGTGCCAGGGTGAGATCTGGAAGTTGAAGAGGCTACGAGAGGCCAGGCAGACCTCCCACATGCTGCCACCCTTTTCGTAGTTCCTCCAACTGAGAAGAATCCCATGTGGGGTTTGGGGAGCTCCCAGGGTGCAGTGAAGGGCGCTGGGAGACACCACCTGCAGCATAGGGTCTTGCTTGACGTTAGAACCTTTGCACATGATCCTTGAAAAAATGAGAAATTTGGAGGTTCTCCTCCTGACTCTCACTGCCCCTTCCTTCCAGACGTGTGCACATCACCGGGGCCACACTGGCCCTCCTGGCCGGGGCTTATGCAGTGGAGGGTGCAGCCATGGAACACCGGGACCCATACCTTCGCGAGCTGGGGGAGCCTACATACTTGGTCATCGATCCCCGGGTAAAAGCCCAGCCACAACCCCACGGATTAGACCACCTGAACCACCCATAGATATCAGCCCTGGTCTCCTATGCCAGAGACTGAGTTCTCAGTCCTCATGCCTCTGTTAAGGGCGGGGAGAGGGGTGGAGGTAGACACATGTGGCTCCCCGGGAGGGGATACAGCCTCACAGGGGAGGCTGGGGAAGGTTTTGTGATCTTGACTCTCAGCCCTCTTATGCCCCAGGCCAAGGAGGAAGACGAAAAAGGCTCTGCGGGAGGGTTGCTGTCCTCCCTTGAGGGCCCCAAGATGCGTCCATCACTGCTGATGACCCGCTACCTGGAGTCCTGGGGTGCAGCCAAGCCTTTCGCCCACCTGAGCCACGTAGAGAGCCCTGTGTCCACCTCCACCCCTCTCCCGGTATGTGCACCTCCAGTGTGAGCCCGTCGCGTGGCGTCCCACGGTCCAGGCTGTCTAGTGCCCTGTCCTTGCTCAGGCCCTTCCTTCCTGGCGCTTCTGTCCAGTGAAAGAGCAAACTCACTGCCCTCCCAGACAGATGCAAGGTTTCATAAGCACCATGGCTATCGCTCCCCACGCTCCACTCAGGAAGCCCTCCCCTAGTACCACAAAGGCGTAGGCTGCACTTCCTCCTGACTCTGGGCCAACTCCGCACGCCCATTCTCACTAGGAAATGGCCCTGCTTGACTCAATTCCTGTGAAGCAGGCTCTCTTCTTCAATCCCCAGGAGGGTTGGGAGGGTGGGGCAAACTGGCTGTTGCCCTACTCTCCAGCACTTGTCCATGCATAGTGAGGTGATGTGAGAACCTCACATGGCCTTGAAGAAGGAAGTCATAAGCAGGAGTGCGGGGGGAGGGGAGATTGTGGGTCTGCCACAATCAGGGGAGCTAAGACGGAGCTGATTGCCGCTGAGTCTATGCACCCTTGGGTAATCAGGGCCCCAGACGCTGGTAGAGCCTGCATCTCCTCAGCCTCTGGCTCTTGGAGTTGATGCTTGATGACTAGTGCCCAGAACCCACCCATGCAGGGACCCTGGCCATGTCCCTACAAGTTTGCCCTGGGATTATGTTCCTCAGCTTTCTCGCTATTTCACCTGATCTTCCCAAGACCTGTTGGCATTCTTAGTCACCTTTCTGCAGAACTTCCAGAATCTTCTGTACTTGGTAGCTCTGCTTGGATTTATGGTATGATTCCAGAGTTCTCTTTCTATGTTCTATCCCCTTCCTCTCCTACCCAAGAGGAAAGCAGGCCAGAGATGAGTGAGCATTGGGGAGCTGGGAGACACTGGCAGCACTGCTTCAGGGGTTACTCAATTTCAACCTTCAACATGGGGTAGAGGACAGGTCAGAAGGGTTAAGCTGACAAGAGGAAGAGGGAGAATCCAAAATTGCTGACTGTTGCAAGACAGCTTCCTGGCAGGGGTGGATAGAGGGTCGGAACCCAGAAACTCTGAGATAAAGTTAAAAACAGTCCCCATGGTGGGCATGCCTCCGCACCCCACTCTAGACCTCCTCCAACCCCTACTAGGGTGCAAGCTAAGAAGCATCAAGAAGAGTAGGAACCTCCTACTGAAGGGTAGATCCTGAAACAGGCCTTACCAGCCCAGAAATTCACTTGGCAGCCCCTACAATTCCAGTCAACAATTAGAATTTGAATTAGAATTAGAATGAGATGTTCCAGTCTAGAATTAGAAATCCTGAGATTCACACGGGTTACTCTTAGGCAGTGTGGGGCTGGGGGTGGTGGGCAATGTTTGTGTTGGTGTAGACCATCCACCATTCTTTCCTTCCCCTATTTTGAGCACCCTCTATGTGGCAGGTCAAGGCTAGTTCTTGAAGACACAGAAAGGAGTGAGATGATGTCTCTGCCTTCAAGTACCTTACAGTATTGAAGGGCAGCTAGGCAGCTTGAAAACAGTTAGGCATAGAAGCACAGAGGGGCCACACCTGGAATGCACCCTCCAACTCCGTCTCCCTTCCTCTCTGCACCTGCACAAGGTTTCGGTGGATGTAGTGGTGGTGGGGAGGGGACAGCAAGTGTCCCTTACCCTAGGCAAGGGGAGCAGGACACTTCTTGTCCTGGGCAGTGGCCACAGCTTCACCTCCTCGTGGGCACCTGCCCTCTCCACTTTGCTCACCTGAGCATGCTCCTGTGTCTCACACGCTGCGCAGCCCCTTTGCTGTACAAGACAGCGACTGTGGCCAGATTGGTTTCTCTTCCTCTTTCCCTTTCTTCTTCATTTTTTTGTTCTCTGCTTCCACCCCTCTCCCACCACAGCCTGACCATCACAAAAGGTCAGAGAAGGGTCAGCACGCTATATACTGTCACTTCAAACTAGACCATCAAGGATTCTTCGGCATCCCAGGGTGAAGGGCGCGTCCCCACCTTTTGGAATCTCTGTGGCCCTTAGGGAAGATGAGACGCAAGGAGTCAACAGCCACTCATGCCTATGGGAGATGCAGGGCTATTCTCTAAGTGACAGAACCAAGGAGGAAATCAGAGGGGCCGAACACCCCCCAGCCTAGAGAGTTGGGAGGAGACTTTAAGGAGTAGAAGTGAATCTTCTACTGGGATTTTGTGGCCAGAAGAGAAGTCCCTAGATGCAGGAGAAATAGGTCAAATGTTCGGGCCTCCCTAGTGGAGAAGCAGGTTAAACCACAGCACTATGAAACCAGCCTCAGCCACTGCATCTGCGCCCTGGAGGTGACCCACATGGCGCGGCAGACCTCTCCTGACCCACCCGCTGCTCCCCTCAGCAGTGTACTTCTCCTATCTGCCTGTTCTGCTCCCCACTCTGTCTCTGGTGAATCCTCTTCCCTGTCCCTACACCTCTGGCTTGTATCCCAGTCCCATATACATAAATAATTTTTTTAAGATTTATTTATTTATTCATACAGAACTGGGGTACAGGCCAGAGATGCAGAGGGTGAGGAGGTTCACCAGAGACAGAGTGGGGAGCAGAACAGGCAGATCGACGAAGTACACTGCTGAGGGGAGCAGCGGGCGGGTCAGGAGAGGTCTGCCACGCCATGTGGTCACCTCCGGGGCAGGTGGGAATCGAACTCATGCGGAAGTGGCTTAAGCTTCTTAGTGCTGCGCTTTAACCCGCTGCGCCACCAGGGAGGGCCCGCATAAATAATTTTAAAAAATAAAGTAATAGTTCAAATGCTCAAGGTCAAGGACATGTGTGGATATGTAATGCCTCGCTGCAGAAGAGGTCCACTGCAGGTGCTGATCCTCTCCCCACCTTCCCTCTCCCTGTTCTTTCCCTGCAGGAGAAGGCCCTGGCTTCCTTCAGCCCCCAGTGGAGCCTGGACCGGTGAGGGGGCCGGGCAACCTCAAGAGTGGGCAGTCTGGGAGGCCTACCTCCATCCTCCCTGGGCGCTGCTCCTGCTTTGTCCAGATGCTTTTGAGGTCTCTGGTGTGACACTCACAGCAAGGGCTCTCACTGTTCAGGAGCCGTACCCCCCGGGGACTGGATGAGGAACTGGACACCGGGGATGCCAAGTTCTTCCAGGTCATCGAGCAGCTTAACTCTCAGAAGTACGCAGCGCAGAGGAGGCCTGAGTGGGGGTGGGAGGCCTGGGCTCCGGTGGTACCGGAGGGTGGTGCTCCCTTGATGCCTGGAGGAAAGTGAGGGGCGTCCCTGCTCCCCCAGGGAAAGACCCACCTCACAGCCCCCTCGTGCCCTGCTCTTTCACCTCCGGGGCTCACTGCCCCATCTCCCACCAGACAGTGGAAGCAGTCAAAGGACTTCAACCTACTGACACTGTACTTCCGAGAGAAGGAGATGGAGAAAGAGGTGGGCTGAGGGCTGGGGAAGAGGCACCAGAGGTTTCCCCCAGCTTAGCCCTTTGGCCCTAGGGAAAGGAGCAGGACTTGTGGGCCTCCCCTCCTGTCCAGAGCCAGGTGTGCACATCTTGCGATGCTGGGGTGAGGGGCTCTCTCTCCAAAGGGAAAGTCACCCGCAGACTGAATTACTGGGGGGTGCTGGGAGAGAGGAGGGCAGCTCCATGGAGAGCCAGGAGACTGACTGGAACTGAGCTGGCAGGTGGGGTAGTGAGGCTGGGGTCCCCTGCTACCTGGGGGTGCCGCCTTCAAGTTAGGGGGCGGCACTGGTGCTGCTGTCCCCATCCCAACCGCCTCCCTTCCAGTATCGACTCTCTGCACTCCCCGCCTTCAAATACTATGCAGCCTGCACCTTCCTGGTTTTTCTCTCCAACTTCATCATCCAGATGCTGGTGACAAACAGGTGAGAGGACCTCAGGCTTGGGAGGCCCTGATTCTCACACACAAGATTAGGCTTTTCCTGACCCCAACCTTCACCTCCTTCCTTTGACCCGCTCCCTGTGGCTCAGGGCACTGGATCACAAGCCCACAGGACATGTGTTCTGGGAGAACTGGTGATAATCACAGCCTACCTCTTACTAGCAAGCATCATACATGGACTTCCTCCACTACCCAGTGCTTTCACAGGCCTGTCTCTCCATTCTGACAACATTCCTAGGCAGGAGGTTGTGTGCCTGTTGAGAAGGCCAAATCTCACAGCAACTGAGCTTAGAATGTAGGCCCTCATCTCTCATCCACTGTGAGGAGACACAGGGCTTGTACAAAACTGAGCCAGGTAAAAGCCAGGTCCCTGGCTTGAAGACTTGGAGATTGGTCAGAGGCGGCCTGGGCCACTCTTCTGGCTGCAGAGGTGTGTCTTGAAAGAGTCCTCTGTCCTTTCCAGTTTTGTGCCTGTTTTGTTAGACTCTGCCCCTCCAGCCCTGCCCTGGATCCCCAGCTTTCCCGAATCACAGCACACGCCTTTTGTCCGCACAGACCCATCAGCAACCTTTCAGATCCCCAGGACTGTTTTTCCCTGATCTCCCAGCCCAGAAGGCACAGCACCCTCCCGGACATAGCAAGCCCATACTGGCTTTTCAAGCCCTCCCTCTTGTCTCCCATAGGCCCCCAGCTCTGGCCATCACCTATTGCGTCACCTTCCTCCTCTTCCTCCTCCTCCTCTTCATCTGCTTCTCGGAGCACCTGACGGTGAGGTGGGCTGGGGGTAGCAGTGGCAGGCTGGGACCCTGGCCATAACCAGGCCTTGATGGGGGTGCCCCAGCCCCTGGGCTAAGATACCACGCTGTCTCCGCAGAGGTGTGTCTTGAAAGGTCCCAAGATGCTGCATTGGCTGCCCACACTATCTGGCTTGGTGGCCACACGGCCTGGACTTCGAGTCGCCCTGGGCACCACCACCATCCTACTGGTCTTCGCCATGGCCATTACCAGCCTGGTGAGGGCATGGAGACTATGTACCCCCAGCAGGACATACTGAAACTGCCAGGGGCTGCAAGGGGACCTCTGGTTCTGGGAGGGCCACTAGACATGCCAGAGCATGCTGGAATGTTGGATAAGTATAAAAGGAAAAATTACAGTCACCCTCACCTGCAGTCTACCCTGGGCATAGTAGCTGCTCATAACCCTTTGGTGGGCAGCCTTTCTTTTTCTTGTTTAGGAAACTCTTCATAACTTAATGCATTCACTCTGATTTTGGAGCTGAGTTTGGGTGATTTTTCAGAGCTTAGGATCATTAGAATTCTCTCCCAGAAAGAATCCGAATGCCCTAGTCAAGTTATGAAAGCAAAAGCTGAGGCCCAGAGAGGTTAAGTGGCTGTAAGAGACCACACAGCAGGTCCAGAACAGAGCTCATGATTCCCACTCCCTCAACTCCTACACACTGCTCTCCACCCTGTCACCCCAGCCAGGACTCCTGCACGGAGGCTCCCCCACCTGTCAGAAACCCACCCCTTGAGATCAATCTGGGCCCGATTCATCCTGGGTCAGCTGAACCCCAGACAGCCCCGCTCTGCCCACCTCAGCTCCTCATCTCCTTCTACAGTTCTTCCTACCAACAACTTCCAACTGTCCTTTCCACGCTCCCAATGTGTCCTCCGCGGCCTTCAACCTCTCCTGGGAGCTCCCTGGGTCCGTGCCTCTCCTCAGCGTCCCGGTGAGTATACCACGCAGACTGAGCGGCCCGAATCTCCTCCTCCAGCACCTTCCACAGCCCTCCCCCACCGCGTACTTGAAAGGGTCCCTATCCTGTGAATTGAAACAGGCACAGAGCTTGCGAGCCCCTGCCCTCTGGAGAGGACCTGTTCCCAGGGAAGGGCAGGACAGGAGCTCTCAGGTGCTCCCCACTGCTGCCTGGGGATGTGCACCCCTCCTGACCGCCCTGCCTGACCCCACAGTACTCCATGTACTGCTGCGTCCTGGGTTTCCTCTCTTGTTCCCTCTTCCTGCACATGAGTTTTGAGTTGAAGCTGCTGCTCCTCCTGCTGTGGCTGGTGGCCTCCTGCTCCCTCTTCCTGCACTCCCATGCCTGGCTGTCTGACTGCCTCATCGCCCGCCTCTACCTGGGCCCCTTGGACTCCAGGTGCGCGTAGCAAAATTGATTGTCCAGGTCCTCTGGATCAGGGGTGACATGGGGCACGGCAGAGCTGTCCTCACCTTGCCGACCTGACTCATCCACAGAACAAAGTGGGAGGGCAGCTGAAGGCTACATGGGCTCTGGGGGCGGGGAGAAGACCATCACAGGGGAGACAGGCCAGGGGCAGTCCTGATCCATGGCTTCCTCAGGCCGGGGGTGCTGAAGGAACCCAAGCTGATGGGCGCCATCTCCTTCTTCGTCTTCTTCTTCACCCTCCTGGTTCTGGCTCGGCAGGTAAGCCACACAGCTCATCCCTCCAGGGTCTCCCACTAAGTGTGAGGTGAGTGTATTGGGGGTCCCGTATTTTGTAACTCTCTTACACCCTTTGCCTTCATTCTGCTTCCCCAGTGGAGCCCAAATGATGTGCCCACCCAGACTTCTGAGTGAATCTTCCTGTTGCCTTTCTTCCTCCTTCATTTCCCCAGGGGGAATTCCTCAATTTCCTCCCTCCCCTCCTCCCGCTACCTCCAATCTGGGGAATCAGCACTTTAGAAAAATGCCAATTCTGCCCACTCTGCTTTGAACCTGCTTTCAAGGGCATCTCTCCAGCAACAGTTGCACTTTATGCTTTATCTGCAGGGTGGGTGGTTTTAGGCCTCAGGTGGGGGGGCCGATGGGTGTGTGTGCCCAGGAACTGGAGCTTCTCTTGCACTATGTTTCCCTGACCACCCCAGAATGAGTACTACTGTCGTCTGGACTTCCTGTGGAAAAAAAAGCTGAGGCAGGAGCGGGAGGAGACAGAAACGATGGAGAACTTGACTCGGCTGCTCTTGGAGAATGTGCTTCCTGCACACGTGGCTCCCCAGTTCATTGGCCAAAACCGGCGCAACGAGGTGACTCACCACCCCCACTCATGGGCTGCAGACACCGGGGACTCATTTCGCATGAAAGTCTTGGGCATGGCCCACCCTCTCTGGACTGCACCACAGGGGGCCGAGGGGCCGCACCCAAGCCCCTGTCCCTGATGCAAATGTTAGCTTCTGTCTTTGCTGAGCACAGAATCTGTGTTCAAGTCCTTACTGGAAGAAGTGGTCTCGTGACCACCCCGTGTCTTTCAGAAGTCCTGTCAGGTGTTGGTGGGAGCTGTACAGAAAGCACAGTCCGCATCTCTTTCTGGATTTGTACCACCCAGTCTGGTAGCCATTAGCCATGCTTGGTCGTTTGAGCTTAAGTAAATCTTAAGTAAATTAAAATAGAAACTTTAGTTCCTCACTCTCATGGGTCACATTTCATGTGGCTTATGGCCACAGTATTGAACAGCACAGATACGGAACGTTTAATCATGGCAGGGCATTCCATTGGCATTGCTGTTGTCTAAAGCTTCAAATATCTTGTTATTTGATATTGTTATCTAGTCAAATTATGAGAAGGTCAACCACAAATCTTCATTGTCTCATTCATTCCTCCATGTTACCCTCTCTGATGTGGGCTGAGGACCTGATCTTGGCCTGGAAGGAGGGGTATTAAAAAAAAAAAGTTCCCAGCTTGAATCCCCACTGCCTGTTCTCTGCTCTCAAGAGCAGGAGGAGGTCTGCTCCTCCTGGCTTTTATAGACCCCGGGAATCTTGTAACTGACCCAGTTTCTGCTTTTACATTTGCTACTAGGAAGCTCAGATCCACCAGCTAGGGCTAAAAAGGAACTCAAGATTCCAGTTTTATGAACCAATCTCAAATCTTTACCATTTAATCCTTACTTCCCCTTTCCCATTTATTATTTATTTCACCTTCCAAATTGTTATCTTTGTAAGCTCACTAACACCTTTTAGCAATAAGATAAAATATAAAGATAATTCAGTGGCCTTGACCTCAGTCCTAGAAGTGACTCCCTTCTAAGGGAAAATCTCTGTCTCTCCTAGAATCACAATGAGACTCAATCTTGGACTCCAGAGTCACATCCCTGGGCTAACCTGGCCTGACCCTCTCCTCCTTTTTTGCTCCTTCTTTAGCAGAGGAGGCAGGTGGGCAGACCCAGACGGGGCAAGGCTGTACATACAGCCTCATCCCAGCCTCCTTCTTCCCCAGGACCTCTACCACCAGTCCTATGAGTGTGTCTGTGTCCTCTTCGCCTCAGTACCAGATTTTAAAGAGTTTTACTCCGAGTCCAACATCAACCACGAAGGGCTAGAGTGTCTGCGGCTGCTTAACGAGATAATCGCCGATTTTGATGAGGTAACAACTCCAAGGATCCCCCAGACCCTGTGTCCTGGATTCTAGCATTTCCTTCACCTTCTGTGACTATCTCAGCCATGAAGCCTAGCTTTTCCCTCCTTCGGTCCCCAGCTCTGCCTCTCTCGCAACTAAGCCCACTACCAGCTCTCCCTCTTACCACCATCCTTAACCCCACAACCTGGTCCTCTAGCCTCCGAAGGCCTGGGGCTGGGTTCAGGGATAGAACAAAGGAAACTGAGGACATAGTCTCCTGTCTTATACAGCTACTCTCCAAGCCTAAATTCAGTGGAGTGGAGAAGATCAAAACTATCGGCAGCACCTACATGGCAGCCACAGGCTTAAATGCCACCTCCGGACAGGACACACAGCAGGTACATGCTCCTTCCTGACCTGCCAGCCCTCCTCTGGGCTCTCACTGGTGGACCCACAGGACGCATTCCACCTGTGCCTTCACTGACCATCCTGATGGGCTGTCCCTCTGCTAGGACGCTGAACGGAGCTGCAGCCACCTGGGCACCATGGTGGAATTTGCGGTGGCCCTAGGGTCTAAGCTGGATGTCATCAACAAGCACTCATTCAACAACTTCCACTTGCGTGTGGGTAAGGCCCCCCCCTCACCCAGGCAATCTAGTTCCTGCTCCTCACCCTCTTGATCTCTCTCTCCGCCAAGTCCTGCCTTGGTTGTTCTCCAGCTCACCCCTAGGCACCTCTCCAGACTCACCCTCGGAGGGGAGCAAGGAACTGCAGGGCCATGAGCTCTGAGGCTCACCCACTCCCTTCCCGAAGCCACACTCTTCTCGCCCCACGCTCTTTTTTTCTAAGCACACTCCCACCTGCCCTTCTCTCTGGTTTCTTGAGTTTCATCCTCCATGTTACTCCTCGAATTTCCTTCATCAGCACTTCTCTTTACCACATTTTTTTGTCAGGGTTAAACCATGGACCAGTAGTGGCTGGAGTGATTGGAGCCCAGAAACCACAATATGATATCTGGGGCAACACGGTGAATGTGGCCAGCCGCATGGAGAGCACAGGAGTCCTGGGCAAGATCCAAGTGAGGGGGCTGCATTGGCGTTTGGGGGCAAAGGGGTAAGGATAGGGCCCCACCTACACGCTCTCACTCCTCTCCAATTACAGGTGACTGAGGAGACAGCCCGGGCCCTGCAGTCCTTAGGATACACCTGCTACAGCCGGGGCATCATCAAGGTCAAAGGCAAAGGGCAGCTGTGTACCTACTTCCTAAACACGGACTTGATACGAACTGGACCTCCCTTGGCTACCCTGGGCTGAGACTCTCCCCCTTCCACTCCTCCTCTAAGATCCTTAATGAAGAAGTCGGTATGGCTGGAATCAGTTGATGTCAGAAGCTGCCATTAGAGCTGGAGATCACCTCCTTGCCGCTCAACAAGACGACTTCTTGCCAAGCCAAAATGAGTGTATGTCTGTGTGCAAGTGTGTGCATGAGTGTGTTAGAAAAGATTGCTTCTTTACACCCAGCCGAGGAAGAGGACTGTCTGACAACCTGATTGCAGTATTTTGTACACCCTGGAAGCATAAAGAATTTTAACCATATGGATTTGTCCTTTACTGCTTCACACCCACAAAATTGGGAGGAATACCCAGGGAAATGTCACTTGACCTTCATTCAGCCTACTACCATGACATAAGCTTTTAGCTGCTGAAGTTAAATGAGCCCACCATTCTTTCCAGGGGGAATCTGTGGACATTTGGGATTCCCCTGTTCTCAGGTTCCTCTGACGTCCCCTTGTTTTTGTCTTCATCCTTCCACAAAGGTGCTAATAATATATGGGACATGACCCAACCATGGTTCTTTCCCACCTGCTCATATTTTGGGATCCATGGGACATATCCTGACACCCTAGACTGGTTGCAAATGTTGTCCCTTGGTTTTTGGTTTTGTTCTCCTAGTTACATTTTCTTATGGGAGAAATTCCCACTGCCACTGTTGCTATCATCTTTCTAAAGCACTGTCAGCATAGAGCCAATCTGAGGCTTTCTGAGACAATTCATCCCTAGGAAAGAATGACTCATCCCTCTGACTTCGGGGGCCTTTGTTCCTAAGAGTAACCTAAGAGCACTGCCCGTAGAGTATATCTTGTGCTCTGGCTAGTGCAATAGTCTGGGAGATAAGATCTGATAAAAGATCTCAAGTGATGCTTCTTTGAGTGATGGAAGAGAGGAAGGTAAGCCCCTAGAACACCACCTGCTTCAAGGAAGCAATCTTCCAGGAAGATTGCTGGCAGGAAGTTGTTGTCATGCTAGCAACGATCCCTATCATAGGCTTTAAGGGCAGCTGCCGCAGCTGTGTTCACGTTTCTCAGAATGCCTCCTTGCCTTGCTAAGTCAGAGATCCTGGGATGATAGACCCACAAGGGTGGTCTTCCTTCACTGGTCTTTCTAAATGTAATCTACAGCCCACCTCGCTCAGAATGGGGAAGAGAGGACTGTCTTCTGTATCTGTTTTTTTCCCCAAAATTGAACATCACAGGGAATTAAAGGATGCACCTCTCTGGGCCTCCCTGGTGGGACTCCCTCAGCACCACCAAATTATTCCCAGTCACTGTGGCGAGAGTGCAGTGCCCCAGCAGGGAGCTGGCCCATATGGCTTAGCAGACCTCCTTGCCCACTGCTCCCCTCAGCAGTGTATTTCAGTAGACCCACCTGTCCTGCTCCCCACTCTGTCTCTGGTGAGTCCTCTGATTACCACCCCCCTTCAACCTCTGGCTTGTGCCCCAGTTCTTCTATGCATAAATAAATAAATCTAAAAAAAAAAAAAAGCTATGATGGGCAGGGATCTCTATAAGGGTACACAGGAGCACCCCAACCCCGCACAGAACGCAAGCCCCACTCAGGATTGACGCAAGTTTCAATCAGTTTTTTTTTTTTAAGATTTATTTATTTATGCACACAGAACTGGGGTACAGGCCAGATATCAAGGAACAGTGAGAGGATTCACCAGAGACAGGGTGGGGAGCAGAACAGGCAGATCGACGAAGTACACTGCTGAGGGGAGCAGCGGGCGGGTCAGGAGAGGTCTGCCACGCCATGTGGTCACCTCCGGGGCAGGCGGGGATCGAACTCATGCAGAAGTGGCTTTAGCTTCTCAGTGCTGTGCTTTAACCAGCTCGCCAGCCACCGAGGAGGGCCTTAATCACTTTTAATTGTGGAGCTGCGGGGGAGAGCCAGGCCCTCACTCCTCACTCGCTCCTCCCTCCCTCTTGGATTCCAGCCTCCACTTGGATGCTCCCAGAGCAGACAAGTGAGACCGACAGGGACTGGCGACTGGCGACTGGCGGGAGCCGCCATCGTCCTTCCACCGCGCCGCCACTCCGCAGGCTGTCGGTGGCTTCAGCCCAGAGTGTCGTGGCTGTCCTCGGGGCCCGGCTCCGCGTCACCCCTTGCTGTCTGGTTCAGGGTGCCGCCGCGGCGGCTGATGGACGCCTCTGAGCCGGTGCCCTCCAGCAGCTTGGCGACGAAGCCCAGGCCGGCCGAGCGCAGCAGCCGCCCTCCGGCGCAGGCGTAAAGCACCGGGTTCACGCTGCTGCTCAGGAAGGCCACCGCGATTGTCACGGAGCGGGCGAAGTTCAGCTTCTGCGTTATCTGCTTCGGGACCGCCTCCCAGGCCAGCAAGCTGCCCGCGTCCACCAGGATCACCGCGTGGTAGGGCAGCCAGAAGGCTGCGAAGGCCAGGATGATGAGCGCCACCATGCGGCCGATGCGGCGGCGGCTGCTGTGGAAGCGCCGGTTCTGCAGCCGGCGCCTGATGTCGGAGTAACTGAGCACCACCACCAGGAAAGGCAGCAGGAAGCCGGTGATGGACTCGAAGAGGCAATGAAACACCTGGTGGTTTGTGTGGGGGTACTTCGTGGAGCATCTCATGGTCCTGTTGTCTCTCTCTACAGTCACTGTGCGATACACGAGGACAGGCGTCGCTAGCAGAAAGGACACCACCCAGATGCCGGCCAGCACCCGCCTGGCTACTGTCTTGGTGCGCAACTTCTGGGACACAAAGGGGCGGGCCACCGCCAGGGAGCGGTCCAGGCTCATGGCCGTGATGAGCAGGACGCTGGCGTACATGCTGACTCCGCAGATGTAGAAAAAGAGTCGGCAACCAAACAGTTGGAAAATCCAGGTGCCCCGGGCCAGGTAGTGCAGGAAAAAAGGGGCAGTCAGCAACACGGCCAAGTCGGCCACGGCCAGGTTCAGCACCATCAGGGCTGTGACAGAGCGCTTCTGCATCTTTGCCAAGATGCTCCACACCACAAAGCTGTTGCCAGGAAGCCCCACAATGAGGGCCAGGATCAGTACTATGATAGCCAGGGAGGAGCGGGAGGGTGCTGGGGAGAGTGCTGCAGGTGAGGTAGTGTTGTTGACCATTGTGAGGACCTGCTGAGTGACATTGGACATGAAGGTGGGGAACTGAGGCTTTCCTAACACCCTGGACATACGTAGGCTGAGAACGCTGATCTCTCTCCAAGGTCACCAGCATCAGACACACCTCTGCAACACACTACTCTTGTCACTGCCCGCTGACCTGGCTTAAGGGGATCTGACTGAGCAGAAAGACTAATTTCCTAACTGGGCTATGGGGCCCCTTCCTGCCCACAGACCCCATTGCAAAATATACAGCGACAGCAGCAGCAGTATTTCCAGAACCTTTCAGCCTCCTCCTCTTATGTGACCTTGAAAACCAGAACCAAACTGTGAGGGGAACTTTCTACTGATTCTGCTTGCCTCAAAAAGGTAACGCCTCTGTCCCATGCCGGGTTCTGAGCCCCTCCATCCCACTGACTCCCTCTAATCACCTACCCACTCTTTCCAGACATACCTGGGCCCTATCAGGAATTACAGGGATGGAAAATAGTTAATAGAGAAGAGACAAGGTGAATCCTCTGGACTCCTTTTAATACCTATCAGGCTCCCTTTAGAAATGCCTTTGCACCTTCTCTCCTAATGGCACCCTGTCCCCAAGCCCCACCCCACTCTCAGGATACTCACAGCTTTGCCAAGTCCTGGTGGGAAGCTGATGCCAATCCCAGGCTCAGGGCGGTGGTGTAGCCTACACCAGGGTCTGGATGCTGTCTGCCGGAGAGGAAGTACCTCAGAGCAGGGGAGGGTGGGGCTGAAACTCTATCTCCTCCTTCACTGAAAGGGGACCTCTCAGTGTTCCAGGACAGCCCAGGGGGGAAGCTCTCCTCAGTGGGGCCTGATGAGAAGAGCCCAGGAAGGAGCTGTCAGAGAAGAGATGTAGTGAGTGAGTAAGCTGGGGCGTGGTCTCAGATGCAGGTCTAGACTGGAGATTGAAACGGAATAAGTAATAAATTGTGTCACCCAGGAGAAGAAGGGAAGGAAGACAGAGAGGGGAAACGGACTCAGATTGAAAGGCCAGAATATTGGCTATCTTTATATTTTGTGTGAATGATGTAGATTTTTAGATTAGGAGGATAGATATTATATATAGGGTGGAGCTGTGGCTTGATTCTGGGTTTAGGTTAAGGAACATCATATCAGATGGGCACAGGTAGTACCTTGTCCCTCCTGAGGGTGCAAGCCATGAGTGGCATTGGGGGGAAAGGGCCCATTTCAAGGATCCCCCATCCTTCCCTATTGGTTCCATTCTGGGTCAACCAAGATTCCCTTGTCTTTGATAGAAGTAAAAGTCTAGGGCCGACCCTGGTGGTGCAACGAATTAAAGCACAGCGCTGTGAAGCTATCCGCAGCCACTACAGTGTGAGTTTGACCCCCAGCCAGGGAGGTGACCCACATGGCACAGCAAACCACTCCTGTCTTGCCTGCTGCTCCCCTCAGCAGTGTATTTCAATAGATCTGCCTGTTCTGCTTCCCACTCTGTCTCTGGTGAATCTTCTCACCCCTGCCCCACACCTCTGACCTGTACTCCAGTTCTGTATTCATAAATAAATAAATAAATCTTTAACAAAAGAAAAAGAAAAAGAAAAAGAAAAGAAGTCAAAGTCCAAATAGTGTTCTTAGTATCAAGTGCCGGTTCTTCCCCTCTCCCCACTGCTTGCCTTGTATGTGCCATGTTACCCCTACTACATGAGCTTGAATTTAAGATCTTGGTGCTGGCCAAGGAAATCAGCACCACCTTTTCCTGCACTGTCCAATTCCACTTTTGACACCCAGAGAAAGTGGAAGTTGAACGTGGAGAACAGCCACGAGGGAATGAGGGCAGTGATGTCTCTTCTTTGCCCTGCCAAAGAAGAAACCAGAAATGTGGAAAGAGTAACAAACAGCTCCCCATGGGCCATGGCAGTCTCTTCTTTAACGTTGCTGCGGGGGCTGAGAGTGGCAAGTCTCTTCTTCAATCTGAGGGCACATGCAGCTTCCCTTTCATCACTGCTGCTTCTCAGAAAGATGACAGTGTGGTGGCATCACTGAGGTTGCTTCTCTTTCCCAGTGCCGCCACTTTCTCTACTTTGAGAAAAGCCAGAGCTGACCCAGTAGCTGTGAGGCAGAGGATATGATGAAAAAAAAAAAAAAAAAGGGCTGAAACCACAGGAAGAAGTGAAGACAGAAGAGGAAGGGCTTTTGACCACAGAATGTTTTAGCTGGAGAATGTGTGATAGAGGAAGTTAGGAGCCTCTGCCCCAGTGTACAAGGACAGGAAAACGCCCCCAAAATCTGTCTTGAGAGATAGTAACTCCTGATTCCGAGCTCTGGGGTCAGCCAGAGGCCCCTTCTGACAGTCAGTGGGTATCTTTGCCTCCTCCCCCAGGCACCTTCCCATTTCCATCCTTCTCGATGGCCTTTCATCTTCCACTAAATCTAGACACTAAGCATACTCCCTCCTTGAGGGAACACCTTGAGGTCAGAGCCCCACCTCAAACCCTGTGTTGAAGGCCCTGCGGGACCCTGGTTTCCTCTGCTTTCCCTTGCCTTCTTCTTGGCTGGTGTGAAATGTCACTAAATCAGAGCCTGGGTTGATGGTTAGGTGACCACTAAAGCAGCCAACCACACAAGCTTGTCGGGGACAGAGGGGCTGGGACAAGAGGCCTTCAGAGCAACACTAGGAAGTCCCGGGCCAGCGGGGCTGAGCTCACCAGCCGATGGGTCGCAGGTTTTACTACATGAGCCCTCGGAAGAATCCTATCCTATATTCCCAAAAGTGTAAGGATCTAGAAGTTTTAGATGTAGAGATAGAGAAAATCTAAAAGGTGGGGGCTGAGAAGATTGGAGAAAGCCAAGGAGTAGCTAACAGTCTTGGAGGAGTCAAGACTTAACAGAGAGAAAAAAACAAGTGAAAGGAGAGGCAGCACCTCCCTGAAAAAATTTTCCTGCCCTTCAAATAGACACGCCACCCCCCCACCCCCAACACTCCTTCATACCCTACCCCTCATTGCTCCCTGGGGGAGCGAGTGTGTGCTCCTGGGCTCTGCTTTCAGTTGGGTGACCGCTGGGATTCAGAAAGGAAGATCCATCTCAGTCTTCCAGAGCCCCTGCCCTACTGTGCCAAATACAAGACAGACAGACAGGAAAACTTTCCTTTTCAGACCCCACAGGTTGAATTTTCCCATCCAGTGCCAGTGTCCCCACCCCATCCCCTACGCTCTTACAGACTCCAGAAAAACAGATCCTCATCCAAGTGCCCATACATTGCCTTGGTCTTTCTCCCTTTATTTCCAGGGTAGTTGTATAGATGGGCCTGGGGAACGCAGCCAAGGGGCCACTGAAGACTGGCACCACCTAGCCTTGAGCTGACCCCGCAGAGGTCCAAGTGGCTCAAAATAACTCAGGTGTGACAAGCTGCCAGGGGCACACATCAAGTGATGGCCATCAAGAAAATTCCCATAGCTGTTGGCAACAATGCAGCTCTGGCACATGGGTGCATGCCAACCTGCAAGGAAGGATATTCACTAACTGGACCATCACCACTTGCAATTCCCAGGTTTGGAGAAACCGGGACCTGCCTTGAGGGTTAATAATTCTGCCGGGACAGATCCAAACGGTGGTCAGAGAAGGATCCCAAAGGCTCCAAAGTGGTTCCCTGAGTTCTGGGGCACGATGGGTGGAGATGGGGAAGAGCAGGCCGGGTCGCAGAGTTTGGGGTCAAGAGTCCCATCCTGGACAGTCCTGGGCCCCACCCCCAGGGTCCCCATTGCCTTGCCCCTGCCCCACCACTTTCAGCCGAGGAGTAGTTCGGAGCTCCATGGTGCCCTCCCTAGAGCGGCCGCCCCCTCGGGTCTCCCCGGAACCCTCAAAGAGTCGCGTGAGGAAGCGAGGGCCTGCCCGGGGCAGCAGAGTCCCGGCAGTGAAGACGTAGAGCACCGGGTTGACGCTGGAGCTGAAGAAAGCCAACGCCGTGGTTCCAGCTCTCGCCGCCTGGCCAGCCCCGCCGATCCTCGCCAGGGCGCCTTCCTGGGGAGCCAACGCCGCAACCGCCTGCAGAATGTTGACTGCGTGGTAGGGGGTCCAGAGCAAGCCGAAGGCGAGCACGATGGCGCTCACCAGGCGGCCCACCCGCCTCCCGTGCTGGCCGGCGCCCCAGCGGGCGCCCCGCAGCCGCGCCAGCGTCACGCTGTAGCAGCCCAGCACCAGCCCAAAGGGAAGCACGAAGGCGGTCAGAGTCTCCAGGCTCAGGTGGGCAGCGGCGTGGGTCGCGGAGGGGTGGCACAGCTGGCACACGCCGTCCCCCGACAGGTGGCGGTAGACAGCCGCCGGCGTGGCGAGCAGCAGAGCGGCCAACCAGACGGCCAGCAGCAAGCGGCGGGCCAGGGCCGGGCTGCGCAGCCGGGAGCTCAGGAAGGGGCGGGTGACAGCGAGGCAGCGCTGCAGGCTGAGCAGGCTGGTGAGCAGGACGCTGGCATACATGCTGAGCGCGCACACGTAGTACACCGCCTTGCAGCCCGCCGGGCCCAGCGGCCACGCCTGCCCCATCAGGAAAGCCACGAAGAGCGGTGTGAGCAGCAGCACCGCCCCGTCGGCCAGCGCCAGGTGCAGCACGAGAGTGGCGGCCAGGGGCCGCCCCTTTGCGGGCCGCCAACCAGCCAAGCTCCACACCACGAAGCCGTTTCCGGGCAGGCCCAACAGCGCTGCCAGCAGCAGGAAGGAGGAGCCGGTGGCCCGAGAGCCCTTCCAGCTCAGCAGCGTCTCGTTCCCAGGGGGACGGTAGCAGACGGACATCCTTCTGATCTGTAGGGGGCTGGAAAGGGCCATACAGGGCACTCAGGGGGTGGGGCAAAAGCCTCCTTGCAGCCTGCCTCTCCCGTCTGAGAATCTTGACTTCCCAAGGGCCCCAGACACAGCTCAAACATACTTCTTGGAATCCAGATCCCCTACTCCAAGTCCACTGACCTCCCCCATCCTGACTCCCACACTGTCACTTCCTCTACCTCCACCCCTCTCTCCCGGCCCCTCCTTTTCAGTCCAACTTCATCCTTAAGCCTCCTGGTGGGTTGGAAAAACAGTAAGCAGATCCACTTACCAGCCAGGAGGGAGCAGGTTGGGGGCTGGGGAAGCCACGAGGCAAAGCTGCAGTGGATGAGGCTGGATGAGGCGCCTACTCCTGCCTTGAGCCTGTCAGGTGTTAGAGGATGAGCTGAGAAGGGGAGGGGCAAGGTGGGGCTCATCTCAGGCCTTCCCCGAGGTCCCTCCCTCACTCCACTCCTTCCCATCACTGACTTGTCCAGGCCCGTCAGAGCCTGCCTCTCCAGGACAGGGATAAGCTGAAGGGGTGTCCATAAGATTCCTGAGCAGGTAATGCTGCTGCTGTTCCTGACCTGGTCCTGCTTCCACACTCTGCCCCCTCCAGCTCTGACCCCAGTTCCCAACCCTGCAGCTCTACTGTTTCCTGGCCTGCACTCAGCAAAGGGTGACACACCGCACTCCGCACTCCTGCAGCGGCCCCAACTTTGCCTGCTTCCAGACGACTCCTGGCCCTGCTGAGCCCCGCACCGCAGCCTCTCACCTGCCCTCTCTCGTCGCCTGCCTTGGGCCCTCCTCCCCTAGGCCTTCAGGGCTCTCACTAGGCCGTCAGTGACTGTTTCCAATAAAGCTTGGCACTCGGTTCTGGAGAGATGGGGGACATGTCGAAGTGCAAGGGGCTTATAATCTGATTGGGATCATAACCCATGGCCATGAAGAGGCCACACTACCTGGCTGTGGCAGGAGATGAGGCAAAAAAGAAAGGGTGAGGTGGTAGAGGCGTACTGAAAGAAGCCCTCCCTGGGTGGCAAGTCAGCCAAAGCTTGGAAATGAAGACATCCACGGGGACCCAGTAGACTGGGAGAGTTGAGGGAAGTGGACAGGCCCCTGCCCAGTCGACAGTCAGGACTGGAGGTTTTTTGGGAACAAGGACACCTGTGTTGTCTCAGTTTGGATTCCCCAAAGCAGAGGTTCAGGTGGGCAAGGTATCCTGTATTTGGGAGGTCAATTCAGGAATAAGAATGAGGGCACAGGGTAGAAGGGAGAGGAAAGCCATAGGAGTGGGATACTGAGGCCCTCCAGGCCTCAGAAACAGCCGCCACGATGTACCCAGAGTGCATTCCCGAGTCAGACCTTGCTGTTTATGCCCAGCTGCATTCTCCTTGTTGAGGGGTTGTCTGGCAGACGTTAACACACCTACACACTTGCAGCCTGGGCTTGTCCAGGGCTGAGTGAGCTCCCACAGCTACAGACAAGACTCCTAGGCAGGATAGAAGAGACTTGCACCCACATGAGTGTTCAGTCAGTGAGCCTGAGCTTCCACAAAACTGTCCATCAAAACTGTCTATGGCCACAGCTGAAATCATAGATCAGGAGTTTGGGCACCAAAAGGCAAAGTCCCGATGCCATTAAAGGATGCCCTCCTGCCCCTTTCATGTCTCCTTCATGCTCACTAAGTGACCAAAGGAGAGAAGGAGAGACAAAGGGTCTAATACAATTTGACTGAAGCCAGAGAAATACTGAGCCGGCTCTTCTCCTAGACCAAGGAGGAAGGAACAAGAGAGCAGGAAGGCCAGGGTCCCAGACAGGATTCTGGTGCTCCTGGAGCAGAATCCATCCTCGCCTCACCCTCCCAGGCTGCATACCTGACCACCTTTTCTCCCAGCCCTGCCCCATAGTCCACCCTCAGTCCAGCCTCCCTTTTCCTAAAGCTGCAGTTTGTGACTTTTTCAGTAGGTGGCAGCACGGAGAGCGCACATCTTACATAATGCAGCTTCTCACAGCTCCGGAGCCACACTGGCCCTAGAAATTTCTTTGGTACAAAGAAAACCACCAGATGACATTCCATCCTTGACCATAGTTCCTGTTTGCCCTCACAGCACAGTTTTGGTGGCTTTTGCTGGGTAACTCTGGGCCTCACTCTTTCTTCCACAGCCCCTCCCCCAGCTCCCTCCCCTCAGACTTTGCCCTTCTAGCCAGGTTGGTGGGCCAGAGTCCACTCTTGACTCATTCCCCACCTGACTGAGGCTGAGATTCCAGCTCTGTAACAGAAAACATACCATTTCAGCGCCAGCACCAAGGAAAAGCACCCAGCCCGGAACCCACTGAGAAAGGCAACTCCTATTCCTTCCCTCCATGGATTACCTCTCTGCCCTGAACCCCAGCAGCCTGCTCAGGTGATTTCTAACCCCTTCCTTCACCTTTCCCTCTGGTAGGGATAGGGCAACCAACACCATTCAGCATCTAGGAGGTTCCCTTCCCCTCCCCACCACTTCCCACATTGGGTTTGCCAGTTCCTGGGGTGCCTTCCCCCACCCCTCTTCTGTGGTGTCTTCCTCCATGGGTATTCTCATTCACAAACTGAGATCCCTCCTTCCCAGCCACTCCACCATGGTCCTCACTGTGCTCACAAAACCCTCACCCGTTTTATCTTTCTTCCCGACTACCGACTACCAGGTCGGTGTCCAATGTGAGCTCTGAGGTTGGCCGTAGGGTCTGGGCCTCAGCTCCGCAGCCCCGACCTTTCCGAGTCTGTGACCACAAGCGGACCAACCGCAAAGGCCTAACAGCTGCCACCTACCAGGAACTGCTAGACAAGGTGAGTGAGCCACAGCCTGGACTCCTATTTGGGGGTGTTGGGGGGGGCAGCCAAGGGGCTGGGGAAGAGTGGGCACACAGCGGGCACCCAAATGAGGAGCCAAAAGGCAGCCCCCCGAGGACTAGCAGCAGCCCAGTAACCTCTGCTGGCTTTTGGGTCAGATTTTTCTCAAAAAATGAGCTCTTATTAGGGTAGGGAAGGAGTAGGTAGAGCGAATTGGAAGACAGGAATCAGTGTGGAGTGGTAATTTGCATGACAAATCAAGTTCACATCTGGACCCTGCCCTTCTCCATGTCAAACCTTGGGAAGTTATTCAACTTTTCAACACTCACGCCCTAGGGTTTGTTGAAAGGAATAGAAAATAATGCATAGGAGTTGCCATAGCTACCTGATATATTGTGAGAACAAAAAAAGACTGAGTCATTACTACATAGTTCTGGAAGTTTCTGTGAGGTTGGGAGAGTTGAGTTGGGACTTTGGAAATAAAAAGGATGGACTTCAAGAGAACCTGACTAGCTTTTAATTCCAAACCAGTAGAAGCACTTGGAGAGGAGTAGGCGGCAACAATGTCATGGTGGGAGCCAACAGGAGAAAAGGTCAGTCCCTAGTGAACAGGGCTAGAGAACAGAGCTGGAGCCATCTGGAGAGATGGTAGTGTTAGGGTATCTAGCATCGTCTGGGGTTAAGCAATGGCTGCCCCATAACTGGCAACTGGCATGGAAAGGACACCAGATAAGCTCAGCCCTCACAGCTGGTTTCCTGTCTCCCGGCAGGCATCAGAGATTCTGGCCTTGAGCGGAGTGCCAGTCCTGGTGCTGGAGGAGGACGGGACCACTGTGGAAAGTGAGGACTTCTTTCAGCTGCTGGAGGATGACACATGCCTGATGGCGCTCGAGGCTGGACAGAGCTGGAGCTCCCCCAGGGTGAGGCTCATATTGGGGTTGTTAGAGGCCACCAATCTTTTCTCTCTCCTGAGCTTCTTCTCTAGCTTGACCCAGTTTGGGGGCAGAGGCCCTAGGGGAGGTGAGACTGTCCCAATGGACACCTTAGTCTCCCACAGCCCGGGCAGATTATCTGACCCAGTGCTGATGGGAAGGGGTGGTGGGTGTCCTGTATGACATTCCATTGCACTGATGGGGGTGCCCTACAGAGTGGGATGCTGTCATATGGCCTAGGCCGGGAGAAACCCAAGCACAGCAGGGACATCGCCCGCATCACCTTCGATGTATATAAGCAAAGCCCTCGAGACCTGTTTGGCAGCCTCAATGTTAAAGCCACCTTCTACGGGCTCTACTCCATGAGTTGTGACTTTCAAGGACTCAGCCTGAAAAAAGTACTCAGGTCAGACTTCCGTGTTCTATGTCCCCGTTTGCACAGTCAAGTTTCCCATTATTACTTCCTCTGCACTCCCCTAGCTCTCCCTGTGGAAAGAGGGTCTCCTCCTGGCTTCCACTACCCAGCTGACTTCGCCTCTGCCTTGCAGGGAGCTCCTTCGTTGGACCTCTGCCCTGCTGCAAGGCCTGGGCAACATGCTGCTGGGGGTCTCCTCCAGCATCCGCCACATAGTAGAGGGAGTTGAGCAATGGCAGTGGCAACGACAGCACCATCTCCATCATTACTGAGAAGGGGCTCTGAGCTTCTGCCCTAGTCTCATTCCAAGAAACACAGTGAGGACTGTGGAAGCATCAGGCTCGGGGACTAGTGGACAGTGCAGCCCGCCTGGAATGTGGGTCTCTAAGGTGTCCTGTGACTCCATCCCTAAGGGCCCCCATAGGATGCCTTAACCCCCAGCCTGTATCCTTTCCTGAGGATGCTGTCCCTTGCTACACATCTTACCAGCTTCCCACTTGCTATGAAAGGTGATATCTCCTGGCATCTTGATTCTACCCTGATTATTGCTACATTGATATTCTTTACAAAGCCTCCTGTCCACTTGTTTTACCAAGATCTGTTTCTTTGTAACCCCCTCAAACAACAGAAGCATTTTCAATAAAAATATAAAAATGTTTACTAGTTAAGACTTTTGACTGCAATTTAAATTAAGAAAAGGAACAAGAGAGAGACTCCCTTCCCTCTCCCCATCAACACCCAGTCCCATATCCAAAGGCTTCAGTCTTCAAGTATTGAGCTCAAAGCCCGCCTCCGCTTGGCCACTGCCCCCTGCTGCTGTTCCCAGGCTGCTCTTCGCTTCAGGAAGGTAGTCAGGGCCACATTTCGAGCCACATGGTGGCCAAAAGGGTCTCTTAGCAGCTCCTGGTTCCGCTCACCTGCAAAGGGAACCACTCACATTCAGAATCGCCATGTAGTCACCTGCCCAATGCGCAAAGAGACCACTTGGGATGAAGGCCCTCCATTTCCCTGGACACTGGGCCTGCCTTGGGATAGAGTTAATACTTTAATCTCCAAAGAGCAGAAGCAGCGGGGAGGGGTGGGACAGGGCTGCACAATTAGCAGAGGGGAAGGGGAGAGTAGACTGGCCAAGACCCTCTGGAAGTCTACCCCCCCTCCACCCAGCTATATGGAGTGAGGGAAGGGCAAGTCTGGGAAGGTCAAAGACAGTCACTGGCACTTACCCAATTCAGCAGCAATTTCTTTCCTGGTCCCCAAGGCTGCTCCACTCCAGATGGCATCGAGCACACGGCTGCCATGGCGACTACAGGCCAGAGCCACATACTGTCCCTGCATTGAGATAAGACAGTCAGGTCCCTGTAGGGCAGGCCACAGAAGTGTGTTGGGGTAGGTGTGGGGGTGCAACAGGGGGAATAGTTTCAGAAGATCAGTGTCTGAGCTGAAACAGTCAGGAACGACATAGCCCTCTTTCAGACACTGAAGGACAGTCCTGGGAGAAGCTCATTCTCTAAACAGATGATGACGAGGGAACAGAAGCCCGACGTCTAACCTTCAGCGTCTTCAACACGCGGCGGCACTGCTTGCGCGTCACAGAGGGGCTCGTCAGGACGGCATCAAGCACATGGGAACCCGCAGGGCTTTGGGCCAGAGTCAGAAGCTGTGGTCCTGTCAAGGCACTCAGACTTCGAAGCACAAGAACAGGAGCGGAGAAATGTAGCAGATGCTGCAGCAGTAGAGACCCAAGAACTGTCACTTCCCCCAGGGCCCTCTCTGCAGCCATCTCCACCTGGGAAGACAAGAGACGGGTTTAGGCAGCGGCCACATCCTTTTGGGTGAAGCCAGAGATCTCACCACTCTCACCTCAAGGGCGAGGGGTTTCCTGGCCCCTCAGGCTGGCTCTTGCCGACTCACCTGGTGCTCCGCAGGCAGGGCCCCCTCCTCCTCCTCCAGTCCATAGTATACTTCGTAAGCCGTCAAAGTGGCAAAGAGAGGCACACAGGCCACCTGCCGGGAGGAGGGCTCTGCACAGTGGAACGCCTGGAGGGGAGACAGGACGTGACAATTCCGAGAACTACTTTAACCCCGGCTTCCTAGATAGGGGAAAGAATTCCAAAGAGATGATAAAGCCTAACTATAAGAATATAAGGTCCACAGGGCAGAATCTCGCTGCCTTGTGGTATCCCCAGCGTCTATACACTTACCAGAGGCTGAACAAACCTTTACTCCCATGTAAACTTCTCTTAATTCTGGGAGGCAATGTTCATTCCAGGGCTATGAGATGGTTTGGGTCTCATTTTTCTCTATATCTGAGAACTCCCTGAGCATCTGGCCTCTTGGATCCAGAAATTAAAACACCATCGACTGCATACATCTTAGCAAGTGTAATTTGAGCCGAGGGCATAAATGGATTGCAGGTAACCCCCACTCACCTCCAACAACAGCTGCAGCACCTGTGCTTGGTGGGCCCCAACTCTGCGGCAGGCCCCTACCAGGGCAATGACGACTCCGGTGTGACCCTGGGCCAGCACAGCTTCCAGTGCCGGGCCCAGCTCCTCAAACATGGGGGACAGCTGCGGGGAGACAGGTATGAAGAATCTTTGGCATTCTGTGGGAACAGCTATTCAGAGAAATATTCCTGCCAAAAATAACTAAAACTGCTAGAGAAAACATAAAGCACTTGTTCTGGATAAAGTTCAGGATGAGAGAACGGTCTCAAGAGCTTTCACCTCACATGGGGAGGAGCTTTTGATTGGCCATATCTAAGGGCAAAGGAGTACTGGAATTAAACTTGCCTTTCCACACCCAACTCCTAACCTGGGCGGCCATAGGGAAGCATGCCTTGGGGCTAAGCAGCAAAGGAAAAGAGATGCTATGGCAACAGATCCAGCATGCAGAGGGACTCGGAGCAAAGAGTCTGCAACTCAAGCTGCCGTTGGTCTCCTGCTTGCACTGGCACTTGAGAGAATCCAAACAAATTCTTTCCTAAGAATGCATTTTTGGCCCTCCCTGGTGGCGCAGCGGGTTAAAGCACAGCACTGAGAATCTAAAGCCGCTTCCACATGAGTTCGATTCCCACCTGCCCCGGAGGTGACCACATGGCATGGCAGACCTCTCCTGACCTGCCCGCTGCTCCCTTCAGCAGTGTACTTCGTCGATCTGCCTGTTCTGTTCCCCGCTCTGTCTCCGGTGAAGCCTCTTACCACCCCTGAGCCTCTGGCCTGTACCCCAGTTCTGTATGCACAAATAAATAAATCTTTAAAAAAAAAAAAGAATGCATTTTTACCCTAAGCCCTGGGAACCCCCTAGGAATAAACCTGCAAGGGGGATGGCCACCATGCTGTCTGAGAGAGCACGGCAGGCACAGTAAGAGGTGGCCTAACGAACTAGACACAGCAGCGCTAGGACATATCCAGCCCAGGCCCCGCTCACCAGCTCAGGGGTAGTAACTGCATCCAGTAAACGCTGCAAAGGGAAGTTGGCAATAGAATGCGCAGCCAGGGTCTGCAACTGCCCTTGGAAGTGATCCTCAAAGAGGCTCTGGAGTTTCCGGGGCTCCAGCACCAGAAGAACCTGCTCCAGGAGTCTGGAGCTCGTCTGATCCCGCAAAAAGAGCAGTAGAGGGCTAGTGACAAGAAGATAATCAAGACATCTCATCTTGACTTCATCCAAAATAACTACCTTGTCCCATTTATTTCACACAGCCCATTAATCTTGGCTGATCCCGAGGCCCTGACCATACCTGCCATCTGCTGAGGAGTTGCGGCTACTCAGATAGCTAATCACAGCATTGCAGAGATGGGCACAAAACTGGGGCAGTTTTCTGCGTAAGATCTGCAAGGCCACTTGAAGGCAGAAACTGGAGATTTTGTCAGTGACAAATACTGTGTGGGGAAGACAGAAGTAACAAAAGTAGCTTTTCAAAAATCTGTACCACCTCAAACCTCAAGCAATAAGGTGCAAAGGTCCTACACAGAGTCTTTGTAGACCACATATGATGAGAAGTATAAGACCAATTTAAATAAGGACCTTATACAATGATAATCACCTCCAGAAAAGGAGACCCTGACCCCTCCTTCTATTTCCCTCCTTACCAGCAATGTTTTTCAGAAAGCAGGAACACAGATCCCGAAGACAATTCAAGAAGGTTTCAGGGACCTCAAAATCAGTTGGCTTACATTCCCGAACTAGGGCTTTTTGTGCTTCTAAGGGAAGATAAAGAACATGTATAGTGGGGAGATCACAAACTACCATCCAGGAGGGAGAGTTATTCCACAGATGAATAAATACTCAGCTTAGAATTGCAGAGCACAAACATGAGTGCCTCTTCCCATCTGGAACATTCAACTACGGCTAAATTCCTATCTTAATTTTGCTAAGATATGCCAACCAGCTCCCTCATGGTCAATAGGAGATCGTTCAAACTCCTTAGGCAAGAATTCAAGGTATTTCAAAACCAGGTTTCATTTAACAGTCAATCTTTATTTCCCAAGATGTAGGTGACTGTCTATGAATGCATCATGAACTCAATGTAGTAGGTCCCACTCGGCATGGAATTGATTCATGGAATTAAATAGAATAAAATAAAAAAGGGAAGAAAACATTTGAATGGGTTTCACATACTAAGAGTGTTTCTTCCCACACTTTTAAAACTTCCCAAAGCTAACATGTCTATAGACACACATACATATGTTGAATCATATTAAAAGAAAAAAAATTTCTTACAGTGAGCTGTAGTTAAGTTTGAAATCCATTGTTCAAATGAATCACCTTTTTCCCCTGCTCCTATTCTAATAGCTATTTACTACGCGTAATCTCAGCTTCCACCTCTGGCCTCTGTGCCCACTAATCTCTGGTCTAATAAACCGTGTCCTTATTTGTCAAGATCATGAAGAATCACTCTTCTGCTTACTCTCTCATTTTTTTAAGATTTACTTATTTATGCATTCAGAACTGGGGTACAGGCCAGAGGTGTCAGGGGTAAGAGGATTCAGCAGAGACAGAGTGGGGAGCAAAACAGGCAGATGTGGCCCTCCCTGGTAGTGCAGCGGGTTAAAGCACAGCACTAAGAAGCTTAGGCCACTTCCTCATGAGTTCGATCCCCGCCTGCCCCGGAGGAGATCCACATGGTGCAGCAGACCTCCCTTGACCCGCCCATTGCTCCCCTCAGCAGTGTACTTTGTCGATCTGCCTCTGGTGAATCCTCTCACCCTCCGCATCTCTGGCCTGTACCCCAGTTCTATATGAATAAATAAATCTTTAAAAACAAAACAAAACAAAACAAAACAGGCAGATGTATTGAAATACATTGCTGAGGGGAGGGTGGACCAGGAAAGGTCTGCCACACCATGTGGGTCACCTCCCTGGCTGGGGATAGAACTCATGCTGCAGTAGCTGTGATAGCTTCATAGTGCTGTGCTTTAACCTTTGCACCACGAGGGAGGGCCCCTTACTCCCTCATTCTAACCTTTTTTTTTTTTTTTTATTTTATTCTAACCATCTTAATCTCTCCTTTCCTCTAGGTCCACTTCCCTTTCTAGTAAGACTTACCAGATGACTGGGAGGCACGATGCCTGGCTCTTTCAGACTCCAGAAGAGTCCCTCCTAACACTTGCAGCAGAGTTCTGACCACGAAGCTGCCGTGTGTGTCTCCACAGTAGAAATGAAAATTATCACACACCTCAGAGGCTAGTCCCAGGACCAGCTCCTCCAGAGTATCCAAGGGACCATCCTTCCCTTCATCTTCCACCACTGTCTCCTCATCCTCTGCAGAGCTCCCCAGCAATCGAGGTAGCTGCAGCAAAGCACTTTGCAGTACATGGACCCCACATCGATGACAAGCTACCAAGCGCAACTTGGAACGCAGAGCAACCCATATTCGACACAGCGGTTTCTGAGGACTGAACCCCAACAGTTCCTGCAACATCTCACTGCCAGTCCTGTTTGTGGCCAAGGCTAGGGCCTGAGTCTCCACTTCCTTCAAAACATTGCGTACCATCAGCTCTGTTAAAACAAAAAAAAAAATATCTTAAAGAGACTGAGCAGGGGGCCCTCCCTGGTGGTGCAGCGAGTTAAAGCACAGCACTGAGAAGCTTAAGCCACTTCCGCATGAGTTCGATTCCCGCCTGCCCCAGAGGTGACCACATGGCGTGGCAGACCTCTCCTGACCCACCCGCTGCTCCCCTCAGCAGTGTACTTCATCAATCTGCCTGTTCTGCTCCCCACTCTGTCTCTGGTGAAGCCTCTCACCGCCCCTAAACCTCTGGCCGGTACCCCAGTTCTGTATGCACAAATAAATAAATCTTTGAAAAAAAAAAAAGAGACTGAGGTTATGCTCCATCAAGGGCGGGATGAGAAGAGGATCTGGTGAAAGTAAGTCCCCAAACACTGGGGACCCACGAAAACATCTTTATCTGCCCTGGACTGTATGCCTCCCCCAACCCCCACCCCCAATTCCTCCTTTAGTCCTATCCCGAAGATGTTCCCTACCTCTCTCTTCTCCGGTCTCTGGAGCTTCTTTCAGCGCCGAGAGTGCCCGGCGGAAATACCCCAAAGCTTCGGGGCTGAGGTGAGGGGGTGCATCCAGGGCCGCGTCTGAGCGTCCGTCTGGTGGCCGGGAGGGCTGCCGCTCGCGGCCTGGAGGTGGGCGCCCCGACACTTTGGCCCCTCGACCTCGCTTGCCGCCAGCTGGGAACCGACGCCCCGCCTTGTGGGGTGAGCGCGGATCCAGCCCCATGGGTTCCTGCGGCCCTCTCCGCCAGCAAACTCTCCCTCAGCCGCGCCAATAGGTCACGCAGGAAGCTGTGGGCCGGGTCCACGCCGACATACGCCGGCGTGTCTGGGCGCCGCGCGTGACGTCAGAGCTCCGCGACGGCCCCTAGCGGGGCGGGGTGGGTGTGTCGCCAGGCCGCCCCGCCTCCATTGCCAGTCGCGGCTGGGACCCTGAATCGACCCCGACCCGGTCACTCACTCTCTCGGTGATTTCCGCGTCGCCCGCTGAGCCCAGGCCACACTTGGGTTTGCACCCTAACTTCTCGCTCTGAGCCAGCCGTGGTCACTTCGTCCCGCCGCTGCGGACGGATTGACAGTTCTCCTTTCCGAGCTCTGCGAGGTAGGCGGCACAGGTGACTGGTAAGAAGCGCGAGCTTCCCTTAAGGCTTAGAGGCTCGGGGCTTCGCGCTCTCCCGTGACCACGCCAGGACCTCGAGCGCAGCCTGCCTGGGCCAGGTGAGGGACTAGAGCCCCAGAAAGCCCAGGACTCTGCGTGGACGCCTCTTCAAAAATCCCCTATCCAGTTAGCCCCGGAGTCCGGGCGAAAAGTTGTCCAACCCGGGACAGCCCCGCGCAACGTCCTTCTGCACTCTCTGGCCTCCACAAAAAGAGACAGACTTGACTTGGGACTTTGACTTGACTGTCCCCTCCGACGTCTTTCCCCTCAAAGCTGTCCAACCCTGGCTCCCTCTCCTACCTCTCTCGGGGCTTTCCCATCCACGCACACAATCTGCAGGCTTCCTTCAGAGCAAATCTTTGCTTCCACAGACTTTCCACGATCGCTTGTGAATAATGGCAGTCCCCATGAAGGGCCAGGTGTGCGTGGTGACTGGTGCTTCCAGGGGTATTGGCCGCGGTATCGCTTTGCAGCTCTGCGAAGCAGGGGCCACAGTTTATATCACTGGCCGCCATATGGACACGCTGCGAGCCACTGCTCAGGAGGTGAGTACTACTTGGGGACCTTTCCTGTTGGAAACTTCCTGAGGGAATCCTTCATTCCCTAATCCTTCACCTAAAACCATCGTATTCCTCCTCAAAATGTGAGAAGTTATTCCAAGTATGATAAATAAAACCCATAAGTAAATTCAGATCAGGTCAAAATTTTCCACCAAGAGAGATTTATGAAAAAAAACTTTGAAAGAGCTTCAGGGATTTTGAAATTGTAACTAAAGAACTGTGTGTGTATTCCTCTCATTGAATTGCACAATTTCATTTGACTTTTCTTCTGGGTTATAGTTTAATATTTGGGCACATTTGACTTGCTAGGTACTGGTTGAACCACTAGGGTTACCAAGCTTAGTGAGATATAACTGTTTTTAAATAGAGCCTCGCAGGAAGGTAGAGGCAGAAACTAATCATTTCCATGTGATGTGATTGTGGTAAGTGACATGGAAGAGGTATGCTCTGGAAGCACAGAGAAAGACATGAAGATACTCCTTGGAAAGCATTCTGAGAAGGTGGTTATTGGACTGAATCTTGAAAGGGAAGAGTTAGAGAAAGGACGATTGAGAAAACCAATCCATCAAGAGAGTTACACAGGCAGAGGGACAGTGGTGAAATAGTGTGAATAATATGAGAAAGAACGCCAACACATTAGAGTGCAGGGGAGGGGGAAGGTAAGCGGTAGGGAAGAGGCCAGAAAGGGTCTTAGAGTGGGTCTCAGAAGCCCCTGCTACAGAACTTTCTAGACTTTATTCTCTAAGAGATGGTGATTTAGTTGAAAGATTTGATCATTGCTGCTGGCTGAGATAGGAAGAATTACTTTCTTGAGGAAAGGTCAGGAGTTAAGAGTCAGGGACTCAAGAGGGCAGGACCCAGAGCAGAAATCTGGAGAAATGGGGGTTGTTTGTTGTTTTACATCTATGTATTTTTTTTTTAAATTGAAGTATACTTGACAGTGTTGTATTAGTTTCAGGTATACAACATGATTCAGTATTTCTGTATTTTGGGAAATGATCACCATAAAAAACTCTAGTTAGCCTTCATTACCTACATAGTTACAAAACGTTTCTTATGATGAGAACTCTTATATTTTACTTTCTTAGCAACTTTAAAATATACAATACAGTATTTTTAACTTTAGACCCCATGTTGCATTTTACATCTCCATGACTTGTTTTACAACTAGAAATTTGTACCTTTTGACAGTAGAAGGAGTGTTCTTGACTCAGGTACTGTTTCTTCTTCCTCAGTAGTTGGAGGATGAGGGCACATTTGTAGTGGATGAGACAGAACAGAAAGTAGAAATAGTTTATACCTGAGAGCTTTGAAGTCTCAGGCACCAGTCAGGAGCATTCTCAGAGAGAATAAGAAGACTGGGCTTTCGTAGGGGTTCCATGAGAGGGGTGAAGGTGAGAGATGAGGAAATGCTAAAAGATGCCCTTAGCTGGAAGGAATTGAACAGGATAAGGAAAAATATAGATCCTCATTTCTCAAAAGCAGCTCCCAGCAGAGTACAATGCCTTGAACATAGTAGGCCTCAGTAAATAATTGCAACTTTAAATCTGATCCCAATCCATGTGGTTCTCTAATTAATAAGGGGATCTCACTTTCCTGAAATTCCTCACTCAGCACCAGAGGGCAGTATTGCCTATGGTGTCCCCTCAACTGCAGGCTTTGATTCCTGTCATTTTGTTTTCTTGGCTCCCAAGCCAGGAGTTGATGGGAGTTGTGTTATTTCTAACACTTGTATATGACTATGATATCATATCCCTCCTAATTCTCCAGGCACAATCCCGAGGGGGCCGGTGTGTGCCCGTGGTGTGTGATTCAAGCCAGGAGAGTCAAGTGCAAAGCCTGTTTGAACAGGTCGATCGAGAACAGCATGGGCGTCTGGATGTGCTGGTCAACAACGCCTATGCTGGGGTCCAGGTACTCAGTGAACTTGGACCCCAGCTCCACACTTCTGACCTTTCCCTCTGACCCACCCCGCCCCCATCTTCATCCCCACTCATTTCCCTTCCATTATCCAGCCCTTCATCCCTCTTGCCTTCAGATCAGCCAACTTAGCTCCCTCCCTGTGCCTTCCAGCCTATCTTCGACAATTTTAAGAAGGCATTCTGGGAATGCCCTGCCTCCATGTGGGATGATATCAACAATGTTGGACTCAGGTGGGTGCTCCCCTTGCCTCACTTAGGTCTTCAGTGAAAGACCTGACCTTCTCATGCCCTCTGTTTTTCCTTGACCTCACCATCTCTTTCTTCTCCTTTCTGTCCCTCCTGTGTAAGTCACCTCTGGAGAAGTTCCATTCCATCCTGGGGAGTCTGTACCTGGGAACATCACTTTTGCCTTCTTTCCACCAGTAATTTTCAAATTGCCCTTGACCTTTCTCCTGTGTGTCTGCCCATTCAAATGTGTGACCCACAAGGAAGGCTCCTTCTCTCCATAATGCACACCACCCATTAATCAGTATTTCCAAAAATGGTTAGGGAAAGAAATTGTTTTGTTTTAGATCAAGAGAAGGTCAAGGAAAAGTGAGGGAGCCGGCCATCTTGCCTCCACGTGCCCACCCCAAGCCCACAGGCAAGGGCACTCCAGGTTACAGTTGGGACGGCAGGGCATTGTGGGGTTATGCTTGTATCTGGCACAGGACTGAGATGAAACATGGCATTTAGAGTTTGCCCAACCTGAACTACATCTGTTCCATCTCTATTTGTTATTGTTGGAACAATGGTACCCTCTCAGAAATTACACTCTGTGGATGTAATTAGACTCCCATGGGAGTAACCAAGAGGTTATCTGCAAATCTGTGATGTAAGCATCTAAGAATACCCGTGGCTTTAGTACTGGGACTCTAGTGGCAATCCCAAGGAAGCCATTTCCAAAGTAGAGAGAGGTGGTTAGCCCAGAGGCAAGGAAAGAAAACCCAGAGCTAGAAATCGGCAACACCCTTACCCTCAGCCCTCCACACCCCCATCTCTTGCTGTTCAGGGCTTACAGCCTGCAACGTAGAAACCAGAGCCAGTGTAGAAACTGATCCCTCATGAATTTGCTACTGAATTCTCCAATGTAAAAGTCACATCGTGGGCCTCTTGGAAGCCCACCCATACCACCTGTCACTTCCCATACACATTCATGTGACTTTCCTCCAGATGACCTCGGCTGGGCTTTCCTTTTGAGACTATAACTCCCTCTACTTGTTTTCATTTGGAGGGTGCTGTTTCCTACATAAAAGAAATTGTTTTCTGGTTACCAAGAATGTGTGTGTTGTTAAAAAAAGAAAAAAATACAGATGCCCAGGGCTGTAAGATCAATGATCAGCCATTAAAGGAGGAGAAATTCAGGGCCCTACCTGGTGACGCAATGGGTTAGGACACAGCACTGCAAGCTGACCACAGCCGCTTCAGTGCGAGTTCAATCCTGCCCCGGAGGTGACCCACATAGCATGCCACCCCTCAGCAGTGGACTTTGTCAATCTCCCTGTTCTGCTTCCCACTCTGTCTCTGGTGAAGCCTCTCACCGCCCCTGCACCTCTGGCCTGTACCCCAGTTCTATATGCATAAATAAATAAATCTTAAAAAAAAAACAAAAACGAGAAGAAATTCAAACTGGAGAAACTGCCAAACTAGATACTGACGTGGAGTTTCACCCCTAAAGGCACTGCTAGAGTGTTCCAAAGTGGTCACGACTGGAAGTACAGCACATAGGTCAATGTGGAGAAAGAGGTGCAGTTTCTGTGGTTTAGCTACCCCATGAGCTTGTCACACACTGGTGTTCTTACAAGGGCCTCTGAGATGAGCAGCTGCGCAAGAGCCATTGAAGAGAACGTGTGCAGGGTGCACTCTGTGTTCTGACCTTGACTTTTTCCTGGTGTGCTCAGTCCTCTCATGTCCTAATTGAGAATGAACACCCTGTACAAGATGACTTAAAAAATAATAATAACAATTGAGATGAAAAAAAAA